GAAAAAAAGAAAAGTCTTTTCCAAAAATGCTCTGCTCCTTGCTGCCACTAGTCCTGGCTGCAGGCTTGCAGATGAACCCACAGGAGCGGACCCAGCCTCCTCCCGCAGACAGCTTTACTGCCAGTGCCCACAGCAGTAAAAGCCAGTGGATGAGACAGAAAGGAATAGAGACCCTGGGAAACAAATTGCCTTCATGAAAATTATTTATCTAGCTATTTTTTTTCTCCTTTGGAAGGGGACAGGATTGGCTATGTTTACAAAACCTGGTGACTTTTTAAAGCTATTATTTAGTTAACAGCTTCTGACACCAGCTGCAGAGGTGCTGGATCACTTTCTGGATGTAAAAATTCTCAAGGAGAATCCAAGGTGATGCTAATAACAGCTGTCAACCCGCAGAGAGGTAATTATAAAGCCGTGATTAAAACAAAACAAAACCTTCAAACGTTATAGCTGTCTCCGCTGAAACGCCAAGGGACAGGCTACAGCAGAGCTGTCACACTCCCTGAATAAACCCCAGTAGTGATAAGGACCAAACGGGAGCCCCCAGGGGTCCCTGACCCAGAAACACCCAACCGTGAGCACCTTTGCACACACGGCGGTGCTGCTCATGCTGCCTGGAGCCCAGCTGGGAGCAGGCGGTTAGGACGCTGCTTCCCCAACATGCCTCATCGCGGGGATCAGCCATTGGATAACTTGCAGATTCCCAGGTCCCTCCCTCCAGAGACAGACCTACTGCTGAGACTAAGAATCTGTGTTTTCAACAAGCTCCTGTCTCCCTCACTTCTCCCCACCCCAAGCAATTCTTTTCATCAACCACGTTTGGGAAATGCTGGCTTGGGGACGCTGACTCCCAGGTGTGGGCTAGTCTGGGAACCTCACAACCACTGAAAGCGTCGAGACTGGCGCAGAGGTTCTCAGCCTTGAGGGTGTGGAACAGTGACTAAGGTTCTGATCCAGGAGGTCTGAAGTACAACCAGGGAGCTGCACTTACCAAGCACCGCAGGCCCACAGTCAACACTTCATGCCCACAGCTTCCCCAGACCAACAGCCTCCTATCAGGGCACGCCGGAAGCCTTCCTTCTTCCACTATCAATCTTAGCATCTCTCTGCTTGCATTTCAGTCTCTGCCAAAATGCAAGTAATCATGGCCGACTCCCTTGCTACAGCAAGCTCTGAATAGTCTATGCTTGTCTCATTTGGTCTTCATGTATTTCCCCAAATCCTACCCCCACCGGAGGCCATGGTCGGACAGCTAAGTGTCCACAGCATGTCCTGATGATCAGAGCCAAGCAAGAAGACTCTGTCTGCCCTGAAGGTTTTGAGGGCAAAACTCTGGGACCAGATTAACTGCAGGAACCCATGAGATTTCAACTGGTCCTCTCAAAGGGCTCAGACTGACCCAAGGGGAGGCAAATGTCTTGGAGCCATAAAGCACCTGGAACAGAGGCCAGGGGCTTTGGAGTCTAGCAGACCTGGGTGCATACACAAGCTTCAGCCACTTTCTAGCTGTGTCTTAGTGCCCAGCCCCCAAGGTGTGGTTCCTGCCGGATTCACGGCATTGACATCACCTGGGAGCTGTTGGAAAATTCGGACTCTCAGGCCCCACCCAGACCTGCCGAAGCAGAATCAGCCTTTACCAAGATTCCCAGGTGACGCCTGTGCATGGCTGAGGTCGCTCATTAAGCATCTCTGAGGCCCAGTTTCCTCATCGGGAAATGGGGGGCACAATATATTCCTTAAAAGATGTCAAGAAGAATGACAGAGCTGGAACACCGCAGACACTCATGAAGACAGGAGCTCTTCCGCTCCCCTTCCCTTTCTGGGCCCCCATCTTCCTCCCTCCCTTACAAGGAGAACAGAAGACATCTCTCTCTCACTCTCATCATCTCCCCCTTTCTTTTCCTAATGGCAGAACTGAGTTACAAAGACAAGAAAATGTTTTCAGAAAGACAGCGCTCTGCCCTGCTCCAAACCTCTGCCTCCAGCTGAGTCAGAGGAATGGAAGGGAAGTGACAGCCAGCCATGCAGGGGAAAGGGCTTCCAGATTTTCTTCTTGGTGGGGAGGGGTGGCTGTGAGGGCTGTGTCAGGTACAGAGAAAGGGAGGGAGCGGGAGAAACGACAGGACAGGCCGCAGCTTGTAAGAACAGCCCTACCTTCCTGAGCAGAGAGAGGCAGCACGTGCCCAACCTCTGGAACAAGCCGGGCAGGCTAACAGCCGGCCTCAGGCCCCACCCAGCCCTGGGAACATTCTCTCCTTTTCCAACCACGAGGGCAGCAGAGCCCACACAAGACCCTGCTCGCCAGCTGCTCCCAAAGCAATGGAGTCCAGATACGCAACGGCCCGTGTTAATCAAGCACTCCCTGTGCTCGTGGCCTGGTACTAAGGACCTCACAAGAATCATCTCACTAATCTTCACCACACTAGATTGATAAGGAGAGTGAAGGTGAGAGAGGTTGACGAAGGGGTCCTAAGCCACAGGCCGGGGGACCACAGGACACCCCAGGGCTGTGAGACGCCACGAGGGAACCGGCAGGCCAGGAGCCCGCTGGGCCCAAGCCAGGGCCACTTTTGAGCACCTCAGTTTTTTTATTGTAGTTTTTTAATTTGGCCAGCCATTAGAATTACCTGAAGAGTTTAAAAAAAAAAAAAAAAGAAAAGAAAATAGAGCTACCTGGGCCTCACCCCAGACCAATTGACTCAAAATCCCTGGGGAAGGGCTCAGATCCCAGTATTTTTATATTTTTTAAATCTCCCAGGTGATTCTGAAGCACATTTACTATCTCAGAAGGTGGGAGATAATGAAAGAAAGAGAAAAAAAGGCAAAAGGTGGGACCTACTGAAAAAAGTTCGCTAAAATCTCAAAAACTCCCCCTGATGTGAAAGGAAGTCCTGGCGGTTTCAGTTCTCAGACAAGTCCTTAGTCTGTGACTCTCCTGCTGGAGAGGAGAGACATCTCCCATGGTCAGAGGCTGCGCTCCCACCCTCTAGAGCGTCTCCCATAAGTAGAGTTCCCCTCCCTTACCAAACAGCCTGGGGGAAGGGTGGGTGGGCTCAGCCCCTGCACACCCCGCCCCACACCCAGGCCCTGCCCACAGTCTGCTTTCCCCTGCCTGGCCTCCCCTGAGCTGCCTGCTGGTTTTCCCAAAAGGCCCAGGACCAGTCACTGATGTGCTGTCTTCTCTTTGCTTTAAAGGCGATGTGGGGAAATCTCCTGAGACTGAACTTCCGCACGGTCCACCCTCCCCTGCAGCACCCCGGGCTGTGGCCGGCAGAGCTCTGGGACTAGAATAAAACCTGAAATAATGCAGGAAAACAGAGGGGTGCAAAGATCTGTTCTTCACTTTTCCACTGTTTCCAGCTGTTTTCAGCACTTCCACCCACAAGGGTGGGTGTAGATCCCAGGGGACAGACAGCTTCATGTGTGAGGACCAGCGTGGAAGACAGGGAGACAGTTCAGTGCAGTTGAGCTTAATTTCTGCCTTCGAAATCCATGCCAGACTCTGCGTTCCTGGGCTCCTACAGTTCTCAAAAATGCTGAAATATTCTGATACATTCTAGCATATTAACAAGCAGAAAGTGCAAGTCTTCCAACTGAACCAAAAAAAAAAAAAAATCACTCAGATGACAGGCAAACACAATTAATTAAATTGTGCAAAACTTTAAGAAACATTTAATATCAGCCACCTGGGCATTTTTGGATGGCTCCCTGTCTAGCAGGCCTTTAACCTGGTTTAGTCAGAATCGACAAAGAGCAAGGTGGTTGGAGAAGTCCCTGTTGGGGTCACAATTAGGTGACAAGCAGCTCTCACGCGCGGCTGGAATTACCCAGAGTCACACTTAAGCTGCCTTTGAAAAGCCCAAGTCCCAAGATGACTTCCCAACGCCCAACCCCACCCCAGGGCTTAGGGAGGGGCTGGCTTAGTTACACTTGGTAACAGGCAAGATGGAAAAGTGGCTTCTGCAGCCACGGGAAACATACAAGACAGCAAGTTCTCGGGCTTCCAGAGCACACTCCCCAGGAGATTCTCAGAACAAGGATGTGGAACTGATGTTAGATGTGGGGCCGGGTGCCAGTGGAGAGGGGTTCTGCTTGGGGCAGGGGGTGCGTGGCTGCTGGAAAACTTGCCAGCAGAAGGACGGGGCTTCAGGACCTGGCCAATTGGATCTGCCCCCGAGCATGGATGCGGGCTGGGCTTTTTGGCAAGGGCTGGGGGGCTGCCTTCCCCCCACCAGGCCTGCCTCACCCATGCATCTGAGGTACTGACCTGAGCTCTGATTCTTTCTGGTCACACCACTGTTAACCTGCCGCTGGCCCCACCCCTACTGTGTCCAGAGCCTGAGCCCCAGACGTCCCCCAACCCCATGGCCAGGACCGCATGCCACTGGCTTCTCTGCCAGTGGCCAACACTTCCTTGGCTTCCCCAGGCCCGGCCCATGCCGCCCACACAGAGATTCCATGTGACATCCATATACCGTGTAGCGCTTTATGCTCTACCGGTTTTCACTTGCCGTGTTTCAAATGGAAAGTACCCTGTAGACCTCTCCCCTCTTCGAGAGCACCAGAACACCAGCTTCTAGAGAAAGCTGGGTGCTGCAAGAGTCACATTGCTTTGCCTTTTGATGAGCTGGGCAGATCTCATTGCAAGATTCCCACAGGACCAACAGACGCTGCGCCGAAGCTTTTGCAGGGCAGCAGCCCGACGTCCCCGGAGATGTTGTCATGCTCACCTCCACTCAGCCGGTATCAAAGGGACTGGATCCAAATGCCCACCTCGGGGGCTCTGGGCCTCAGGAGGGCTTATCCAGCTGCTCGCAGATGGGGGCCTACACCCCCATACGGGCTGCACCATGCCAGTCTGTGCCACCCTTTTCCTCCTAACCTGTTCTCTCAGCATCATCTGCAACGGTTTTGCTGCCGTCATGTTTTGTTTCGTTTTGTCACAAACCTAGTTACTGGAAAATTCTCTGAGGTTAAAGAAAGTACAAGATAATAAAACCTTAGAAAAATAAGTAATTCTTTTATTTCTACCTCAAAATACATCTGGAACTCTAAGGGGGAAAGTAGACCAGGAGATGATTCCATCATAAAAATAAGATTAAAAAAACAATAATTGTCCGTTTCAGGTCCGTCTTTAATCCAGCTGAAAGAGGTGTGAGCTGCCAGTTGTCTTGCTGTCAGGTGCCACCCCTGTGTCGGTGGCCTTGTGGCTGCCTCCTGGGGATTCCACGTCTAAGAGTTCCTGCAGGGTTCTGAGGACATGCTTTGGCTGGCCAGCGGCCAAGTCCTGCAGGCGGGAGCCCATGTGCTCCTGGAGGCTCCTGGACAGCCGGCGCACCACCGTGCGGGCGTCCCCGCCGTGCCCAGACAGGATGCCATTCCCGATCCTGTTGTTCAGGAAGTACCAGAGGATGGGAAGGACATGCCGCTCCACGGCCTGAGGCTTTCGGGGATAAACTGAGGCCACCAGCACTGTTGGGCAGAAAGGAGGAAGAGTCACTTGAGCCAGGCACTCTCCCCCTCTCCCACCACCCTCTTCAGGACACCAACTCTATCCCCCAAAGGGCAGGCAGCCCAGCAGGGCTGGCTTTCCCCCTAGCCACAGTCCCTAAGGATCATGACACGTTTAGGGGTCCATAAAACGTTTTCGTTTCTTTTAACATCAGTAGAAAAAAAATATGAATATATCTAGCTGGCTTATATTCATATTTATATCAACTAGTTATAAAATACAACTTTTAATATTTTTTGTGGAAGAAGGGGTGCACAGAGGCAGAAGTAGTCAGGGTCCATGACAATCAGAGTGGGTTCCTGCTGCCCAGGGGAGGGGAAAGAGGCAGACACACCTGGTGACAATCCTGCCTCTCCTGTCTACTAGCTGTGTGCGCCTGAGAGAGCCCCCCAACTTTTCCAAGCCTCTTCCAAATCTGCAAAGTGAAGATAAAAATCCTGAACTAAGCTCTCAAGAGTTTTAGAGATGCAATAATAAATATATGTAAAGTGCCTACCTCTAAGTAGGCAGGTGAAAAACAGTAGCTAGTATTAGTATTGCATTAACCCACATCATCTCCTATGAAAGTCCAGACAAACACAGAGGCGAACTGCACTAGGGAGAGAAGTCAAGACTCTCTCACGTGGAGCATTCTGGCAGATAAGACAGCGCCTGGGTGCCAACCCTCAGGATAAGGGCAGCCGCAATGTGTAAGGCACGAGCATGTTTGTAAACCACCAAGCTCTGCAGACTCTCCAGATCAGCCCCCCAGATCTGGCCACCCAAGGCCTCCAACCCTCCCTAAACCGAAGAAAACCCAGTCGCCAGCTAAACCTGCCAGCAGCCCTTTCTCACCAGAGTAAATGCCAGGGCTGCAGCCAATGTCAAAGCCACATCAAGGGCTATCCCAGGTCACTGCGGAGCGGCTGCTCAGGCCTTCAGCTGTGGCCGCATTACCCTAAATGCGCTAGTGCGAACAATGCTTGCTTTGCAATCTGCACACTCTGCCTGCCGTCCTGCCAAATGGTAAGTGCTGGGAAAGGCAAACAACACTGAGAAAAGTGCTGTACTGATTTATGGAGCACAGACAGTGGAAGCTTCCATGGGCCGCGCCAAGCCCCAGGAACTTTCTGGGCCCAGGGCTCAGAGCTTCATGGCGTTATGATTCCACTTACATGAGCTACCTAAGGTAGCCAACATCATAGCCACAGAAAGTGGAAGGTGATTGCCTGGGGCTGAGGGAGGGAGGAATGGGAGGTAGTGCTTAATGAGGACGTGGTTTCGGTTTTGCAAGATGAAGAGTTCTAGAGATGAGTAGTTGTGATGGTTGCACACATTGTGCATTTGCATTATGCATTTGATACCACTCGACTGTACACTTTAAAATGGTTGAGATGGTAAATTTTGTGTTATGTGGATTTTAACAATAAAAAACTTAGAAAAAGAAGAAGGTGAGTGCAATGAAATGTAGCATGGATAGAAAACAGAGAAGAAGGTGAGAACTCCCAAGAACCAGGCCCGGGCGTGCACGCCCAACCCCCACCAAAGGCTGAAGGGGTTCACCTTCCCCTAACAGAGCCCCCTTCGCCACCCTGCCACATCTCACCCACTCAGGCTCCCTGAACTCTCCCTCCGAGCTACACTCCAGGAAGAGAAGCAATCCCCGCCCCAGCTCAGTTCCACAGTCCACACCACCTTCTCTGCTCACATCCCCCTGGCTAACAGACTCAGGCGGCCTCAGAGCCACGTGCCCCAGGTGCAAGGATGCAGAGGTCACCTGGCTTCAGGGGTAGCTCAAGCTGGCAAGGGCTGCAGAGGCCCTTCTGCAAGTCAGCATGAGGGAGCAGACCCCATTCAACTCAAGCTTAGAAGGCAGCTGAAGTAATTAGCAGACGATTTACTTCTATTAAGCTGTGCTATTATTAGTCCACGCCTGTGTCAATAAACACTTTCTTCTCTCTTCCTGATTGACATGGAGTTAACAGAAGAGCTATGGACAAACTCTAGCTTTTGAGGTCTCTTGGAAATAGATAAGAAAAGGTTACAGTAAGTGAATAATCTAAAGTGAGGATACTTGCCCACCTCTGGGCCCCCTGAGTTACCTAGGTAAGGATAGGTCAGGGTTTCACGCAGAGAATGCTGATGTTGAACAACAGCGAAGCATCCAGGATGATGTTAGTTACATGCCCTGTTCTCACCCAGGGCACCTGCAGCCAAACCTGCCTCACTTGCCGCTCAGAGAAGCTCTGGCACCTGGACGGGAGGTAAAAGGCCACTCCAGGGTCGCTGGGGGGATGGAACTAGGGCACAGAGGCAAGGCCAAGAGCAAGAGATGGGGCAGAGGGGAGCTGAAAGAGCAGCTGGCACCAAGGTCCTCAGCCAGGCAGCGTGTGCTGAGCCCCCCTGCAAGTGCTCGCAGCAGCGGGACAGCAGACTGGTGACACCATGTGGCTGCGCTCCTGAGAAGCACAGGGGAGAAGGGAGCCAGGAGGTGATGCCAGAGCCAAGCAGGCATTGTCCAGATGGAGGAAGGAGGGAGAAGGTTTTCCAGGCAGGGCAACCACCTGTGGCAGGCGACAGTGAGAGGGTAGGAGACTGGCCATGGTGCAGAGGACACATGCTAGCATGCAGGAGGCAGAGGCAGGGCACTCAGGGAGACGCAGCACAGCCCAGGGTTGCGGGCCCAGCTCTGCAGCCGGGCTCTGGGGACACATCCTGGATTCCTCACCAGCGACCTTGGTCGCTTCACCTTTCTAAGCTCCATTTTCCTTCTCTCTACAAAACCATGGAATCTACACCCTCCTGGTAGGGTTGTCAGGAGGATTAAATAATCCAGTGCCTACAGCTGGGGGTGGGAGGAAGGGGGCACAGCCTAGGGAGGCAGTGACAGCCTGTGAGCCACTCCAGGGGGCCTGGACACTATCCAGACGACAGCTTGGGAGCCTCATAAGGATTTAAACGGGGGTGTCACATGCCCTGCCTGCATTGCATGGGGACCCTTGGGAGTCTGGGGGACAGACAGGTCTGTGGATGGGACCGGCACAAGATGGGGGAGGTGGCTTTGAGCAAGCAACAAGGACCATAAAACGAAAGTAAGTGACCTGCCCGAGGTCAGAGCTGGTGGGTGGCAGATGGGTCTGTCTACCCCAAGGCCTGTGCCCCTGCCATGTTGCCACCTTAAGGGACACGGGAGCAGGCATCAGCCCTGGAATGAAATCACTCAGACTTATCCTGCAGACTCAGAGCAGAAATAGGATTGTAGCAACCTCTCCTCAGCTGAAGCTTAAACGAAGCCAAGCAGGCCACGGCCCCACCTCCCTGTGAAATAGTCCCAATGCCTGTCGAGGGGTCAAATGGGGTTGAAGTCCAGCCCATGCTCTGTATGCCAGGCTGCACGTGCCAAAGAAGGTGCAACTTTTTCTAATTCTCATGACTGTGCTGTGACCTGACCAAGACATGCACCCACTAGGCAGGGTCTATCTAGAAGGGGAGGTTTTTTCTGATTCACATGAAGGTTCCCTATAAGATAGAGGAAGCCCTGTTTGCAAAGAAGAAATACATGCAGGTTGAGTGTCCCTTCTCTGAAATGCCTGGGACCAGAAGTATTTCAGATTTCAGGGATTCTTTTGGATTTTGGAATGTTTGCATTAGATTATACTTAACCGGTTCAGCATCCCTAATCCAAAATCCTTCAGTGAGCATTTTCTTTGAACGTCATGTTGACAGTATTTGAGGCCGGGCGCAGTGGCTCACATCTGTAATCCTAACACTCTGGTAGGCCAAGGCGGCTAGATCACTTGAGCTCAGAAGTTTGAGACCAGCCTGAGCAAGAGCGAGACCGCATCTCTACCAAAAACAGAAACTATTAGCCAGGAGTGGTAGTAGTCCCAGCTACTTAGGAGGCTGAGGCAGGAGGATCACTTGAGCCCAGGAGTTTGAGGTTGCAGTGAGCTAGGCTGACACAGTGAGACTCAGTCTCAAAAAAAAAAAAAAAAAAGTTTCAGATTTTGGAGAATTTCAGATTTTCAAATTAAGGACACTCAACCTGTAATAGTTTCCTTAAAACTATTTTGGTTCTGTACCAACCTGCCTCATTTTGATCAAAAGCAAAGATGGCCTTCTGGCAATGTAGAGATTGCCACTAAAACAAGCAGATTATTAAAATTTTTAAATGATCCCAGGGGATTATTTCAGGTCTAAGATAAGTGAGTGGACAGTTCAACCACAGGCCAGGAGAGAACAGAGACCCCCCACCCCCCGGGCGGGGGTTAGGGGCAGGGCTAGGGGCTCACCTGGCAGGCGTTCTGTGACATCCAGCACCGCCCGGCCACTCAGGAAGCGCACCCGCCCGGCAAATGCTTGCAGGAGGCACAGGTTGTCTGAAAGAGACGGGGGGAATGTCAGGGGTCTGGAGCCAGAGTGACCAACTGTCCCGGCCAGCCCAGGACTTTCCCCATTTTAGCGCTGTCAGTCCCGTGTCCCAGGAGCCCAGGGTGGTTGGTCATCCCCTCAGGAGCAGAAGCGCCTGGCTGGCTCTGGGAGGGTCAGAGGAGGGAATCTGGGGGTTGAAGAAGCACGAATTAGCTCTTAGTCATTTCTATCCAAGCTCACCGCCTGGGTCCAGGTAGCCCGAGCCCCCCGGCCCAGTGCTTGCAGAGATAGCAACGTTTCTCCTCCATATATATGCCCCAATTCACCTTTCAGAGGTTTGGGGGAAAGAGGGATTTTTAACCATTTTTAAAATTGCCCTAGCACCCCCCACCAAACTCCACCAGCCCTCCAGCCACACCCAACCCAGGGTGCCACTCCTGGGCTTCCCAGCCACACCCCGGGGGTGAAGCACTGGGCACCGAGACCTGCCCATTTGTATCTTGAAAGAGAACTAAAAAGGTACGGGCGTTTATTAGAGGAGGCACTGACGGTGAAATCACAAGCAAATGGGGTGGGATGGTGAAATCACAAGCAAATGGGGTGGGATGTGCAAGACGAAGAGGCTCTCTGGCCTCTCTCACAAGGAGGCACCTTCACACCCAGCTCCCAACACTTTGCAACCACGGCAGTCACGGCGTAATTCAGTGGGAGGTGGGGCAGGAAACAAAACTCATTTTTCAGGATGTGGCTGTGGGGCTTGCCCGCACCTGTCAGGGAGGTGAGGGTGGGAGGCCCGTGTGGGCATTATTAGCACAGCAGCCCCAGCAAGTGCGTCCTGGGGCCCAGGAGCTGACCGTCTCAAGGCCAGGCTTCTCTTTGCAGGGGACAGAGCTTAGAGCCCTGCCTGAGGAAGTCTTTCCAGACAGTCCCACATTTTCCAGGTTCCTTCGGCACTCAGTGCCCCTGCATCCCCACAGACGTGCACTCAACGCTTTGTCTTTCTCATCGGGCAACGAATGTAGCTGAGAGCTCATTCCTGCTTCCCTCCTGAGGCCTGGGAGGGCTACGGGGCGGAAACGTACACATGCACATCTCTGCTGTTTGCAAAAGCTCCATCCACAAGGCAAGAGTCCTTGAAATAATTTGTCCTAGGAGATAAAAGCATTGCCAGCTTCTAGAATATTACAGTTAGCAAGATGTGGTCTCAGCGTGTCTTGGTGAAGTTGTAATTGTGTAAGGATAGGTTTTCATACCAACATCCCCGTGTTAGTGTTTCCAGGTATTTCTATTTGTCCTACCACCATCATTCACCATGAGCTCACATTTGCAGACAAGGACTCCTTCCCCCTTGGTCACAGCCCACAATGCTCAGTCTGGGACAGTCTCTGTACATAGCTGGGCTCCCCACTCCTGGCCCCTGATATGGCCCCCAGAGCCAGAAAGTGAACTTGTGGACTACTGCAAGATGCAGACCCAGCAAACACCTGGCCTAGACCTCCTCCCGCTGTGCACAGCACACAGCAGGTGCTGGATAGATGCTTGCGGAATACAGGGCAATATCAAAACAGAGACACAGTTGGTCCGAGCTGGTTTTTAAACCCCAGAGCACTGTGCCCAAGCAGCTGGCCTGTCTTTCCCCTGTCTACGGTGGAGGCTCACCTTTCAGGTCACACCCAGGTTCAATGAGAGACACTAAAGCATAGTGGTTAAGGGTGGGGCTCTGGGTGCAGATGGCCTGGGTTTGAATTCTGCCTCTTCCGCATTTTACTGTAGAACATTGGACAAGCCACTACTCTATACCTCAATTTTCCCATCTATAAAATAAGGATCATACTAATACCTTTCTCACAGAGTTGCTGTGAGAGTTCAATGAGCTAACATATGCTTAGGGTAGTGCCTCGGGCGTAGAATTACTACGTAAGCATCAGTTATTGTTGTTACCGTTATCATTATTACCCTAAAATGCTCTGAAAGCCCAGCAACCTTCACGGTGGACAGACCAATGAACAGGCTAGAATCTAACTTTCAAAAGCTGAAAATCCACACTCTGCTGGCCTAGGCTAACCCAGGCTCCTCTTCTCATCACGAGGAAGCCAAGACTGGCCTGGCAACAGAGAGAAAACAGCCACCGGGTGCAGGCCAGGGACCCCGGCCTCCCTGGGCTCAGGCTCCCCTCTCTACAATGGGGTGGGGGTCTAAGGGGCCTTGCACCTGCCCCATTCGACCAAGTCCTGAGGCCACCAGGCCACACCATCCTCAGGCTACTAGGAAGCCAGAGAAGAGCATTTAAGAAAGCATAAAAACATGGTAGTGTAGTGCAAGACTCAGTAAGCCATGATACACCACGCAGACAAATGCACCGTCGCTGCCAGCGCCAGGTATGTTCATCTCGGGAAAAAATCAGGAATGATCCACAGAAACACACATGCTATGGTACAGACACAGCCACGAGACAGAGCTGTTAAAGTGACTCACGTGTATAATCACGTAAATGTTCGTGCTCTGATTTTTTGAAAGCAGGATGCAAATTCAAATGTATAATGTGATCACAACTACGCACACAACTATGCACAGAAAAAAATCTAAAGTGAAAAATGCCAAATGTTAATAACGGTTTCTTTTAGGAGTTGGCACTATAAGGGGTTTTTTTTTCCTTTCAAATGCTTTGTGTTTCCCATTTTCTCAATAATAAGTATGACTTTTACAGTGGTGGAAGTGAACTTTGTATTTTTCAGTTAACAAGAAAGACTGTACGGTAGCATGAGACACTGGATAGTGTTACATGAAAGAAGCAAAATCAAAATTGTATTTACGTTACGACTTTTAACCAGGGAAATGTGTATACGTGCAGACAAGACATAGAAGATCACAGAGACATTTTTAAGCTGTGGTATATTGAAGGGACACCACAGATGAGTTTTTAAGTTCCATTAACAATATAATGTTGGTCATATGATTTATATAAGGTGATACATTTAAAGTCAGAGAGCAAAATAGCAAAAGTTGATCTGAAGCCACCCCCAGTTCCAAGCTTATCTGCTCTCTGCAGTCCTGGCCAGGGCCTGGGCTAAATTAAGAGACCTCCTTTTGGCACTGAGAAGTCTGAATGCAGAGACGTGACCACGAGGGGATGAGCTGTCAACAGTCTGGTATTTTAATTAGTGAAGTTTCTTCTGTGACTAACCCAGGAGCAGAGCCCAAAGACAGAGCCAACCAGCCTTCTCAGGAACCTCCTTGATCCCTTGAGTAATTTCCCTGAATCAGAAAGTCTTAGTGCTGAGTAGCAAGAATGCCACTCATGCCTTGACCCCAGAGAGGCCCCAAGGCAGACAGTGACAAATGGAGAGGTCCGGGAGCCAGCTGCCAACATGTGCCCTTCCTCACCACCCCAAGAAGGGGACATGAGCAGAAACCCCCACCTGCTCTGTCAACCCACGAACCACTCAACCCCAGCCACCCTAGGGGAGTCCAGAGGGCCAGAAGGGATGATCTTGGCGGATGAGTCTTCCTTACCACTGAATTCCAGAACTGACAGGGATTCCAAGAGGTTGCCAGGACGGCCAACCTCCTAAGCTGGCTGTGTGACCTGGACTTTGTGCCAGAAGATGGCTTAGCCTGGCATTATTCTTGAACCCTTTGCCCCCACGTTTAGCAGGAAACAAACATGTGACTTCCCACATTTAAGTATTTCATAGCATTTAACAGTTCATCTCCAGCCTGGAGCCCAGAAGCCCTTGTGGGGCATGAAGAAGCAGGCTTGGGAGAAAGTTCCTTCCATCAGAGAAATTGGGTCAAGTCTGATCCAAGCCATTTCCAGGAGAGGCTTCAAGGGCTAACCATCCCCCAAGAAACCACTAGGTGGTTTCTAGATGGCTCAGGCTGGGTGACTTGGGAAGACATGTGCACCTTCTCTTCTGTCCCACCTGCCCAGTCTCTGCTGCTACCACCCAGTCCCCTGGGACAGCAGGAAGTCTAGTTACTTGCATCTGCAGGCCGGGCTCAGCCCATTACAGGCAGAAGAGACCCATTCCCAGAGAAAGCACGATTCTACCCTTGGTATTCCCTGGCAGTATGAATTCTCCTTGTTGGTTACCTAAATACCTCTGGCCCTGACCTACACAGATGTGGAAATCAGTTTGTCACTTCATAGTCAAGAACACTTTCCAAACCAGTGTTGCTAGTTGGGCCGAGAGGGTGTGGCTGATGGCAAAGCCATCCGGCCCCGATTGCCATTGCCTCACCTGCTCAAAATATCTGGAACCAAGACAGTGAATTTCACCCCCTGGGCTCCACAGGAGCCTTTAGCCAGGGATTTACTGGGCTCTGTTCATTCCAGCCTGAGCACTGACCTATAGATTAGAGAGGAAGACAGTCCCCCTCACACCTGCCTCCATTCTCCCTGCACTGAAGCCTCTGGCCGGCGGCGCAGAGGGGCATCATCAGCCATGTCCAGGGATACCCTGTCCCAGAAGGAAGGGAGAACTCTAGGCACCTTCCTGGTAGCTGCAACCCTGCCTCAAGGTGAGTTCAGATCCCAAAATCAGGCTGTCCCCAGCCTCCCCTTCCAAGATGCCCAGCCCAGGTGGGTACAGCAGGGCCCCAAATAAAGGGGACCTGAGTCTTGTGACAATGTGAGACACCAGACCGTGTAGCCCACAGCTCCAGCATGCTCTGGGAGGCTAGCCCAATGGCAAAAATGGGAACTAAAACACCTGGAGGAGGAAGAGTTAAAAATCCCTCTCCCCAGACAAGGGTACTTATCCTCTTCAAAGAGCGAAAGCCTAGCTTGCTTGGCACAGCTTTCCCAATAAATCCAGGGCCCGTGGTGATTTACCAAGAGCCTTGGTTATTGGCAACAGCAATCTCACTTACCCAGAGCAGCACAGAGAACAAGCCGTAATTTAGAGCTGGATTTATATTGTTTGCTCTACAGCAACAAACTCTGCAAATCATAAATTCCCTCTGAGATGAAGAGTGGAAATTGACAATATTTATGAACTCGAGGCAGAGAAGGGCCTGACCAGGCCTTTGATTTGTAACTGAAACGTTTCCTGGAGGCTCCAGCCAAGGACACGGCTGCCATCCCAGCCCCAGGGAGCTGGGCTCAGGCCAGGGCATGGGGGTGAGTGTGTCAGGAGGTGTTTCCAGCCTCACCACGGAATGGTCCTCAGATGCTAAAGACAGGACATTGCTCTGTGCTCATCAGGACACACAGTGACAATGCAAGCACAGTTTCAGACCATAAGCTTCCTCACACAGAGGCAAGACTTGTTTGTGAAACTCCATCCCTCTACTGGTCTGCACGTAAGTCTACTCATGTGCTACCTTCTCAACACGCACGGAGTTTGGAACTTGCACTTCAGTCTATACACTGGATACACCTGGATACGCCAAATATCACCTTCTATCGTCTATGAAAGGAATGCGAGAACAGAAGCAGATGCACCCAAAATTCCACCGAACGTTCAGGAAGCAAGTTGTGATACTGCAGAGCACCCAGGAACTGAGACGCTCTCGCCCTCCCTGATGTCACCTCCATAGCTCCCTCCTTTTTTCCTTCTCTCCTCCCTCCCTCCCTCCACCCTTCCTACCCCAAGGCCTAGCCCAACGTAAGCCTTCCCCAGCACTCCTGACTCACCCCCTGCAGTGCTGGGTGGCCCTAGGGAGTCAGCCCCAGACCATGTCACCTCCACTTCTAGCCATCTAGACGCACGGTGGATGCAACACGGAAAAGCCTGCCAGCCAACAAGGCCCTGGGCCCCCCCTCTGCCCACACAGCCTCTGGTGAAGCCTTTGGCCCAAGAACCCACCAGGGCCTCATCCACTGTGCAGATGCCCAAGCAGGAAGGTGGACACGGTGACTAGGAAGCCGGCTGCCTACCAGAGCCCTGGGGCCGAGGCAGGAAGCTCACCCAGGCTCTCGATCATCGCGTCCAGCACAGTGGCCGTAGCAGCGTAAATCCCTGAGCTCTTGGAGTTGAGGTTGTCTGCAACAGCGATGATGATGGAGAGCAGCATGGGCTGCAAGCTGTCTCTGAGGAGCGGGATCATCTTGACGAGGGACTCCAGCGCCCACTGGTTCACTTTCTTGTTGGAATCCTGAAGCCTCGGGGTGAAAGCATCAAAGACCTATTGAGGGGACAGAAACCAAGAGCCTGTGGGAAGCCAGCCAGGCAGGAGTCCCGCAGACCAGGGGCCTTGGAGCTCACCCTGCCCAGCCAGCTGCATCCCTGACCTGCAAAGAGCACGCCCAGTGATAGGGCACCCACCTCCTCAGAAGGGGTGTGGGTGAGAGGGGAGGGACTCACATGCCTGGAGCACTCAGTTTGTGCCAGGCATCCAGAGCATCTTCGGAGGTACCCTGCACTCTCCCTTTCACTGAATGAGCTCGACAACCCCTGAAGCATATGTTACCATCCCACTTTCCCATAAACAACAGCAGCTGAGCTCCAGGAGGTTAAATGATTTGCCTGAGGTCACACAGCCAGTAAGGAACTTGGATGGAAACCCAGGTCTGCGACTCAGAGCCCGTGTCTCCGTTCCGCTGCCTGACTGGCTGTCTGCAGCCTTGCTCCAGGAGGAAGCAGGCATCCACCCTAGTGTTCAGCAGAGAAAGGCTTGTACCCACTCCTAACCCCCTGTCCAACTGCATGCTCTTCCCGCAAACATTAGGCACCTCCCCAACCAGAGCAACCCCAGGCCTCAGCCACAGTGTCCTCTACCTCCCACCCTCCTCGCCATAAATCTGCTAGAGGGATGAGAGACACCTAGACACCTAGGACATCGTTTCCATGGTGCCAGCAGGAGGTGGTGTCCTCACTCCCTCAGCCACTTTCAGGTAGCCTCTCCATGTCACAAAGGCCAACCGGCAAGTTCTTACCAGGCTCGCTGCACCCTAAGAGGTCTGACACAATGTCCAACCCTGCTCAGGGTTTTCCAAATTGAAGTTGCACCACAGGGGAGAGACAGGCAGGAGAACGGAGCGGGAGCACTCACCTGGACCAGGTGGGTGGTAATGAGCTCAGGCTCAGCTCTGCAGTGCTCCAGGAGCCGTGCCACGCCCTCCATCCGAGACCGGCTGTCCTTGGCCTCCAGCAGCCTTGTCAGCTCCCGCAGCTGCTCCCCCATCTCCCTCGCACCCCGCAGGGAGGAGCGCAGCCCCGCCAGCCATGGGCCGTTGGAGCTCAGCCTGGGTGGAAAGAGCGGGCATCTGACCCCCAGAGAAGAAGAGCCCTGGGGGACGAACACACCTCTGCTCCCATGCCCCCTCCCACAGGCAGGTGGACCAGAGACAAGAGGTCACCTGCAGCGTGGTCACCCCCAGCTTCTCCTCTACCTGCTACCACCAGACAACACCAGCCGGAACAACGCAAGAATCCTCTCTTCACAACACAAAAAAAAGATGGCCGACGACCCCACCAGCCTCTCCTCCCCAGCACGCCCCCCTCCTCCCGCCTTTTTTTTTCCTCACTTTTCAGAAGATATATGAAGAGTAGGAGGGAGGCGGGAGAGAGGGGGTGGTTTTCCACGAAAGGATGACCAGTGCACATTTCAGCTGAGCACAGGGAAAGATCTCAGAGGTCATTATGGCCACCCTTCTGCTGGCACCTGCATCCCAAGCCCCGGCTGGCCAGGCTCTGCTCACGCTCCTCCAGCGACAGGGGAATCGTGAGGAAGCCCATTCTCTTACGTTGGGATCACACACGCGTCTTAGCCCCATGGCCTGTTCCAGCCAGCATGAGAGCAGCTCCCTGCCAAACTCCGATCTCCCACCCCCAGCTCAAAGCCTGGGTCGCTGAGCTCACGCCCTACACCCAGGTCCCACCCGGCGGAGCCCAGCATCATTCATTCCATCACTCATTCCTGCATTCCACACTCTTGCCTCCCGACAGCCAAGAACTGTGCTGGGCGCCGAGAACAGGGAAATGAGAGCACGGCCTGTGCTTTAGGAGCTCACAGACCAATAGGAGATGGAAGAGTCAACTGGGCTGACAGGGTGTGAGCAGGGGCAGCCTGACCACCCTGAGGACGTGGGGGCACAGAGAGGCAAAGGGAGCCTCCGGGAGGAGGAGACAGGTGAGCTGACTTCTGCAGAATGAGTAGTCATGTTCTAGGTGTGGCTGGCACAGTCGGGAGAGAAGACATGGAGGGCAGGGGACGTGAGGTGCTCTGGTCTGGCTAAGAGAAGAGGAGTGGGAGAAAGTGCAGGAAGTTACCCCTGAGGAGCTGGGCTAGGGGCTTCCTTGGTGCCCTGCTAAGGAGTTCAGATGTGATCTCCCCAGGACACTGCAGAAGGGCTTAAGTTTCATGCACAGGAGTGACCACTGGTTTCCTGCTTGGTTTCTAACTGCTCCCAGCCCACCTCCAGCCTCTCAGCCCATGCCTTCTCACCTGCCTTTGTTCCAGCTCTGCCTCTGAACTAGTCCCAGGCTGGCCACTCTGGTGGTTAAGGGGTCTGCTGGTCTAAGCAAATGGAGAAATGCTAAGCTCACAGAGAACCCAACCAACGACACATCCCACGGGTGCTAGTGCACCCACTCGGCCAAGACCACATAACCAACTTCTACTGGCAGATGCTCCCAAGCCCAGGATTTGGCCTCCCTGAGATCTGGGTGGGGGAACACATCCTATAAATTCATCTACTAGTACTGCAGACCCCACTAGGTCTCAGCTGTACCCCGGATCCACACGCCCGCCCCAGAGACATCCCTGGCCATGGGCAAGCAGGCTGCCTCTGTCAGAAGTCTTGGGTGTAGATCCCAGAGAGACAAGTCATACCCCTCCTTGCTGGGCAGCCCATTCTCACACACCAGACTCCGTGTCACCTTGTGGCCTTTGGCAGATGGAAGTTTATCATTATCTTCTATTCCCTTGAAAAATACACACAGAACATGAGTCAAAAGGAGTGACCCTCTAGGGAACTGCCAGACCCAGTGTAGACATAACAAGAGCAATGACCCCTTCTACCTGGAAGAGCTTTGGAGGCCACAGCTGAGCCTTCCAGAGCCCTAAGGTTAGCCGGGGCAGAGATCAAGATCCCCACTTAACAGATGAACGTGTGGAGACCCAGGGAGGCTCGAGGAACATAGGCAGGGAGGGGAAGAACCAAGTATCAGCACAGGGGACAGAAATAACACTTATCCCACCTGTCGGGAGTAGTGGATGAAGTTAAATCCCCTGGAATCCACTCCCCACTCCTTGACCCACTAGAGAGCTGCCAAATTCAGCCCTGATCTCCTGCCCCCAAAGACCACGACCCACTCATGCCCCACGACTCACCCGCTGCTTAATGGCCGCCATGACCTTCCGCAAGTCATGCGACGGGAGGGACTGCTTCAGAAACGCATCGAACTTGGCATTCGCCATCAAGATAGTCACCATCTTCCGGCCATAAAATCTGCCACAGGAGAAGGAGCAAGATGAAGAAACAGCCTCGGAAACGCATAATAAATTTGCTTTACAGCTTTACATAATTTTTCTAATTAAAGTAGGAGAGTTTTTAATACTTTTTCTAATTATTAAAGTAATCTCTACCCTGTTAAAAATTAGATTCACAAAAGAATAAACATCCATAATCCCATTACCAAGAGAAAATCACTATTACATTTTTATGTATTTTCCTACAGTCTTTTTTCCACACATATAGAGTTTAGTTGATATCGGGATGTATCTACAACTTGTATCCAGATTCTTCACTTTGTCATTAATCATATTCCCATGTCACTTAGAACTGTATAAACATCCTTTTTAATGGCTACACATTATTCCATTGAATGGCTGTACCAAAAGATACTGAACTTTTTTCTCATGTGCAACATTTGGAAGCCTGAGGAAGGGGGCAGTGGGAGAGAATAGGAGTGAGTGACCACCTCGACCTGGCGAACAGTGGCAGTGGGGGGAGGAAATCAAGGAGGGCTTCATAGTAGAAGTGACCTTTGGGGTGGAACTCAGAAGATGCGTAGGAGTTCGTGAGCCGGGTGGGATCAGGGAGTACATGGAAGGGGAAGGGCCGCTTCAGGGTCCACGGGAGAGTCTGACATGTCAGCAGGATATGGCTGGGAATAGTGGGCAGGGCCTGGACACAGGAAGAGGATAGGCTGGAGAAGGTGGTAGGACCCTGGGTAGGAAGACAGGAAGGAGCAGGGCTTCAGCCTCAGGCAATGGGGAGCTAAGGAATGATGAGATTTGCACGTTAGTCGAGATGTCTCTAGCAGCAGTGTGGAGGATGGACCAGTGGGGACAAGGCTGGGGCCAGGAGACTGTGAAGAGGCCACCATAACAGTCCAGGTGGGAGGTGGCGAAGGCCTGAGATAAGGCAGCAGATGAGGATGAGGAAGGGCTGGTTGGATTCAGGAGCTGCCAAGGCAGTTGCCACTGCAAGATTTGGTAGCTGGTTGGCAGTGGAACAGGAAGCACCAGAATGACATTTCACTCAACCCAAGATTCCATTAATTGTAAAATGCACTGTTACTTTATTTTCCACTAAGTAAAAAACAAAAAGAAAACACTGGTGATTTCTACTGCCTCCAATGACACTGCCCCATGTGTGACGGTAACCCCTTCACGTGCTATCTCAGGAACAGAAGGCAACGTTACTCATCAGCATTCTCCTTCCTTAGGTCAAGTGAAGTTCTCAGTGGCTGCTTTGCAAGAAGATGTGGAATTCGGCCATTCCCTCCACAACAGTGTTTGCTTGATATCTAATGGGCGTCCACTGCCATACTGCCATGCCTTTTCCCATATGCAGTAACTGTTCATTTCAATGCCAAATGATAGTAAAATATTTCTAATGCACTTTAAATAGCAATTTAAAATCAATAATTCTCTTTTAGAGCATCCAAAATCACTTCTGAAAAGAAAAGGTTGACGAGCAAAGAAAGGCTCATAGTGTAGTTCCTACAATGCAAAATTTAATTAAGAAGTTTATACTATGAGCAAAAATGACCAAGTTTGCAAATACGCAGATAGTAAAAGCTGGGTGTGGTGTCAAGCACCTGCAGTCCCAACTACTCGGGAGGCTGAGGCAAGAGGATCACTTGAACCCAGGAGTTCGAGGCTGTAGTACACCACGATGGTGCCCATGACTAGCCACTCCAGCCTGGGCAACACAGTGATACCCCATCTCTAAAAACAAAACAAACAAAAACTCCCACATCATAATTGCTGCCTGGCCAACAGTAACTGTGAGATGCCTCTGACTGTAAGATACAGGCCAATTTCAAAGATATTAAAATGCGGGGAGAATATATGTTTCTTAGACTCGATGAGGCAGGAGAGTCCCCCGTTTGCTTCTTGGCTGACTTGGTAAATAATGGTGACTTTTAACAATTGAGGGGAAACAGCCAGAGAAGCAGGTTTGGAAAGAAGGCAATGAGCTCATTTGGGGACACTTTGCACTGCAGATGACAGTGGGACATCTGGTGGTGGGTCCCACGGAGGCGTCAGAGATGTAGGTCTGATGCTCAGAGAAGGCTCTGGGGCTGGAGGGAGAGATTGGGGAGTGTCAGAGTTTGCTGCTGGCTGGAGTGGAGCCAGGAGAAGGGGACGAGGACGAAAGACCCCTCGGCAGACACGTGCATTCAGACAGCAGGCAGGGGGAGAATGGACGCAAAGAGATGTGGAGAACCCCGCGAGTACAGAGCCATGGAAACCGGGACCCTCAGAGTTCCAGGAAGGAAAAGGAAACATAGCCAATGTCATCCATGTAAGACAGAGGTCAGAATGGAGAGGGATATTAGATCCGGAGAAATATTAATAGTAGCTCTTGATTTCCATCCCTCTACCAACAATTAAAAGCAAGCAAGCAAATAAACCAAAACCTTCTACTTCTCCAGCAATATTCCTCATTCCAGTAAATGGAACTATCATTCGCCCAGTTCTTCAGTTAAAAGAAACCTAAGAGGCATCTTCAATTCCTTCTGAAACCCTCACCACTGTCATCTTGTTGGCTCTGCCTTCAGAATACACCCAGAGCCATCCACCACTCCCCAGTGCGAGCCTCCAGCCCCTCCTGCCTGGGCGACAGGGCTGCCACCTACTGCTGTCCCTCCTCCAGCCCTGCCTCTCTCTCCCACGATCAGTCCTACAGCAGCCAGAGAGATTGTTTTAAAAATCAGAAGGCTAGGAAGCATATAAAGCAATACTCAGACTCATTAGTAATCAGGGGAAAAAGCACTCTGAAACAACGACAAGCTATCACCTTTACCCATTAGATCGAAAAAAATTAGAATTGCAAATGTTGCCACCCATTGGCAAGACTGTGAGGAGGTGGGCACCTGGGCCTGGCAGGGGGCAGGCAGACACGGGGAGCATGCTGGAGAGCCCTGGGCCATGCCCGGCCACTCAAGTGCGCACATGCATCTGACCCGGCAGGGGTGCACCTGGGCATGTTCCCAAGGACAGACCCTCTCAGCCCCAGCGGGGGCACGTGCAAGGAGGTGACGTGCAGCTCTATTCACAGCGGTGCAGGGCAGGAGGAACAGCAGGCACTGCCCCCTCCAGGCAACACCGCAGGTGGGGTCCCCCACGTGAGTGCTCTGCCTGGAACGGAACGCAGCACTGATGCAGTGTGGACGTGGGTCCAGAGCTGTGCCAGGTGTGGCTCCGGGTCCAACAGGGGCGGAGAGGGAGTGAGGGACTAGACACACACTCCCATCCAAACAGACGTGGTGGTGACGCTGTGAACTGCGGAGTGTGAGGAACTGGGCCCCGGCCCTGGCTTCTGGAGACAGATCCTATCACTCTCCTGCTTAAAACACTCCAATCCCCCTCACTTTCCTACTCAACAGCCCCTGATGGCCTCTGATCACACAACCCAGAATCCCCACTCCTGACCTTGGCCTGAAGCCCTCCGTGGCCGGGGCCTGCCCCAACCCAGCTGTCCTTGCCCATGGATGCCAAGGTCGTTCCCAGCCTGGGACCCCTGGACCATCTCCTCTGTCCGGGAGCTCAAAGAGCTGGCTCCATCCAGCGTTCAGTTCTCAGCTCAAATGTCACTCTTTAAAACAGTCCCCACAACCCGTGACGTAAAGTAGCCCCACCCCATTCTCCATTACATCTTCTTGGGTTTTTTCTTTATATCCCTTATCTGTATCTAAAGTTATCATAATTATTTATTTGTTTATTATCTCTCTCCCTTGACTAGGAGGTAAGCTGCAAGTCAACAGGGGCTTAATTTTTCTTATTCACTGCGGTGTCCACAATAACAAAAGAGTGGTCATCAATAGCTCTAGGAAGAAGGACTGGACGGTCTCACAGAGGATGGCGCCAGGGTGGGACGGAAACCAGAGCAGCACTCAGTGGGCAGAGAGGGATGGGCGGCGGGAGAGCGAGGGTGGGGAGCACCGACCACTCCCTGAACGGCTCGGCTGCGGTGCTGGAGGAGGTGGAACAGCAGCCGGAAGGAAAGCACACAGCTTCCATCCCCTGCACGGCCCGGGGAAGCTGGGCTGCGTGGGCCAGGACCCCGAGGGCTGGCTGGGTGCCCCAGGCCCCCGGCCCCCCTACCTGGTGTCCTGGTTGGAGTCCTGGGCCAGCCTCACGAGGTTGTGCACCAGCGTGTCTGTGCTGTCCCTGGAGCCCGAGAGAAGCTTCTCCGCGCCGATCTGCTCCAGCACGGCTGAGAGGTGCTCAGCTGTGCATTTCCGGACTAAGGGGTTTCGGTGGCTGAAAGGAAATAAATCGCAGCCAAGGAGTCAGTGTTGGGATCGGGGTGTGGGGGTCCCCAGGCTGGCACGCAAGGACCTACCATTGTGACCCATGTTGCCGGCCAGCCATGGGCTCCAAAACCTGTCCTGCATGGGCTGAGGGGGACCTTTGGGGAAAGAGCTCTCGCTTCCTAATAACAGGGAGACAACAACAACGGGACAGGGAATGACAACCGCGGGAAGCTACACGGTATTCCCCAAATACACCACGTGCTCACCGTGTTCGTCCTCAGGGCCTTCCTGAGCGCGTATTCTCCCTTTCGTCTAAATACACTTCGCCATGTTCTCTCTACCTAGAAAAGTCTACCTGATCAGATTCTCCTCTTCCTTCCCAGCCCCACAGGCAGAATTAGAAGTCCCCCTGGGGTAGCACTGTCTCTGTCCTCCGGGAAGTTCGGTGGCACCCCTGTGACCCCCCCATGAGGCTGTAGCTCCCTGGGTGGGGGAGAGCCAGGTCTCCCTCCCTGTTGCACCCCCTGTGCCCCGCTGGAGCCTGGCATTCAGTGGGAGCTTAATGCTTGTCTGCTGAACTGAATCGAGACAGAGGAGGGGAGGGATTGACCGGTGAGTTAGTGACTGTACCAGGTAGAACTTGAGCTGTATAAGAGAAGCACATCAGGATGTCACTGCGTTCAAACGGGGCCTCCCTCTGTGTCCACACCCTTCCAGGCACTGCTGCCACCTTTTCCCCAGAGACCCACCCCAGAGGAACACAAAGGGGGGCATCAGGGCTCTCCCCACTCAGTGTGGTCCATGCACCGCAGCGACGGCATCCGAATCAGAATCTGCATTTTCACAAGGTCCCCAGGGATTCAAGCTCATTGGCCCTGTTCTGGGATCCCCTGAGGACACCTGACCCCGGTTCTTGTTGACAATGGTCAGCTGCATCCCCCTCCATGCCAGGCACTCAGTTCGGCACCTTTGACCTATTACCTCGCATCAACCCCATAAGCTGCTATTATTATCCCCACTTTACAGATGCAGAAACTGAGGCAAAGAGAGGCATCCAGGAAAAAGTCCGCTTTCTTCCAAGTTCATTGCAGCCACAATAGCACCCAGTAAATGTCAGGTGGGGCAGGCATGAAGTGCTCTTTCATGAATCGATTCACTTACTCCTCATATCAACCTCATGGGGTAGACACCACTATTATCCCCATTCTACAGATGAGGAAACTGAGGCACAGAGAAGCGCAGCAGCAATCCAGGATGTGAACCCAGGCGGTGTGGTTTGGCAGCATGTCACCCCTCACAAAATGCTGTGGTGTGATCAGCAAAGATCTGCTAGCTGGTCCCACAGGGCCTGGGGTCTACCGAGAAGCCTCCGCATCAGTGCGATGGTGACTTACGGGGAAGGAGAGCTGCTCTGCCTGTGGGAGGAGGGGCTGGGAAAGGCTCTGGGTCTTGCTTTAGGGGAAAGCCAAGCTGCCTGCGGAAAAGCTCCAGGAGGAGCCCAGCTCTGTCCGCCTCCCCAGGAGCAGGCCCAGCTGAAGTGTTGGATTCTGTGCTTCTCACTGGCCGGGGTTTCATCAGAAACAAGCACCACTCCCAGGGGTGCAGGGGGAGCTCCTGGGGAGCAGCCCTGTCTCCTCCAGGGTCACCACAGCACTGTGGGGGAGCTCACCTCCCACAGCTAAATGTGGGAAGCTAAACGCTGTGAAGCCTGGGGCAGCCCCTTCTTCGCTGACCTCTGACATCCTGGGGGACCCTCTGCAGCCTCACTTGCCTCCCTCCCCGTCCCCTTCTCCCCTCCTTCCCTCCCCCTTTCACGTCCCAGGGCCTCTCCCCTCCCCCACCCCCACCCGAGACGACAGGCAGCCACGTACTAGACACCCGCCGAGGTGAGGGCCACGAGGGCGCGGGCAGGCGTCACATTCTCCACCATGGCCCCCAGGGACCGGTTGGCTGCTCTCTGGATGAACTCGCTGGTGTTCCCCATCTTCTGGAGCAGGCAGCGGGTGATCTCCTCGGCCTCCTGGTCCATATTCTTCTTCAAGGCCCGGAAGAGGTCTCCCAGGGTGCCGATGGCCAGGTGAGACACCTTGGAGCGGAGGTTGGTGACCTTGGAGAGAGGACAGGGAGCCTCCAGGACAGCTGGACCTGGCCAAGGGCTCCAGAACATACGGAGAATGGGCCCGGCACCCCCCTTCTGTGCCCCACCCTCGCCTGGCCTAGGCCTCGCCACGCTGGAGACGCAAACCCTCCGGCAGCCCCGTGCAAAACAGTCCCATTTTATTATCATCGTGATTATTAGTCCCATCATTGTCATCACCATCTGAAATGTGGACAGCACTTAGCCTTCAAAGCACTTTTGCAAAAATGTCCAATTTGATCTTCACAACTACCATGAGAAGCAGGCACTGTGTATGACACTCATTTTGCAGAGGAAGAAACAGAGACCCTGGCCACATGCAGGAAGGCCCTGACTCCCAGCACAGCCCGGCCCCTGAGTGTCAACAGGGTGTCTTCGGACCCCACCCCACCCTGCTGGAACAGCCCATTCCCAAGGGTGGGGCACGGCCACCATGTGAGATAAACACATCCTACCGCCTCTCTGGGCCCAGCCTGGACCCCTGGGAGAAGGGCCCTGGGAAATGCTACACTGCCCTGAAGCTGGCAATCTGGCCCAGAACACTCCGTCCCTCCTCAGGCATGTTGAGTGCAGAGGTCAATGCAGGCTGTGACAGATGCGCACACAGAATTCTGATTGTTTCAATTCCCGAAGATTACGAATAAGGAAGCCCCAGGCCCCAGTTTTTCAGTCTGAGAAATGGGCGGCTACCTCCTACCTCGGTGGCTGAGGGCTGAGAATAAGCAGGGACACTCACGCTGCGGGGACCACAGCCCTCCGCAGTGCTGCGCAGCTGTGCGGAGCAGCTGGAGTGGGGTCAAAGTGCACAGCACACGGGCTGTCCGGGAGGCCTCACCTCCCCTGTCACCGCCAAGGACACCTCATGCAGCCTCCCAGCAAGGACCTCCACGTGACAGGCCGCCAGGCGCTGGATGCTCTCCAGTCCCTTCTCCTTCAGCTGCCTGAGAAGCAAGGCCAGGCCTGTCACAGGTGGTGGGTGGGGAGCAGGAGTCCCCCACAGGCCAGCAGAACCCACATCACGCAGCACAGCCCCCCACAGCCACAGCAGGGTGGGGTTCTGTGGCCTCGGAGCGGGGTTTCCTGGGGTAACACTCCAGCCTGAAATCCTAACCATTCGGTAAAGGCCACTCTTATGGGGCTCCTGGCTGGCCCTCAGCTCTGGTGCACTGAGATGGATGCCCACCCCCAGGACCTTTCTGGGTCCTTGACACAAGGCCAACACTCTCAAAAGAAGGCGTCTGAAGACTAAGGAGGGCTTCCTGCAAGTGTTCTGGACCTCAGGTCACTGATTTGCCCATGACCAAGACTGAGCATCCCGCCAGTGCAGTGGGAGGAGCACTCAGATTAAATTTGATTCAGGGAAATAAAGGGCTGGTACCTTCGTTGGCCCGTGCTGTGGAGCCAAATCCGTACCTCCCACACATGGCTCTGGCGCGTCCCAGAGCAGCGCACAGGCTGCTCGGAGGGCCCAGGGCACACACCACATACACGTGCACATGTGCACACGCTCTTCCTTCCATGGTACTAGAACCCGGGAGTGGGAGCGGGCAGCTGGGGGCAGGAGCTATTCTGCAATGTGTGCACACACACACACACACACACACACACACAGGCCACAGCGCCCAAGAGAAGGGATCTCCTCACCAGTCGCTGCTGTTGAGGCACTGGAGGGCATCTGCCAACCCCAGCTCCGGGTTTGAGAAAGGTCTCAACTCCTTAAAGGCTCTGAGATCCATCTCCTCCTCCTCTTCTTCCCATTCAGGAGACCCCAAAGTTAGCACCGCAGGTAACGAGTTGGCTGTAGTCACAAAAAAGAAAAGAAACAGCAAGCTTCATCCAGGAGGACAGGTAAGAGCTTCACCCAGGTGGCAGGAGGGACTGCCCTGGCCACCCTCACGTGGCCTGGTGCACACCCCAGAGCCCACCTCCCAGGGGAGGGCGTGCAGAGGACAGACTGGTGGGGCTTAGAAGCCAGCCCAGGAGCTACGGAGACCACCTAACTCTCTCCCTTTGGTTGACTTTTCCTATTCCCGCCATTGCCAATGTGATTATTATAAACAAACTGGCTTGTGATATGCTTGATGTCATGCGATAAGACCCCCAAGCCAGTGCCTCACCTTCAGTCTCGCCCTATCTGTGCTGGGGCGGGGCCCGAGAGCCTGTCACTGGATGGCCTCCCTGGTCACGTGGCAGCCTTCTAACCTCTCTCCTACACAGAGGCCTGCGGTGCTATCAGCGTCTCCTCCTTCCCTCCTACTATCCAGCCTTTGTGAAGTTGCACAACCGGGAAGTGGCCCAAGGACAGATGGCTGGAGGAAGACAGGGGACAATATAGCTAGCTGGCACCCACATGGTCCTGCTCTTGCAGGGACTGACAACAAGCAGATTGTCGTGTTTTCTAGGCTTTTCTTCCTTGGGGACAGATGGAATCATAAACTCCTAGAAATAAAGGAAGGAATCTCCATCCAACCCAAGGCCCTAATCACGCAGTTGAGGGATCAGAGGCTCCTCCGTCAGCACAGCCAGGACAAGAAGGTCTCCTCCCAATCCAGAGCTCCTGCTACCGCATCTCACTTCCTGGCTGGGTCTCTCCAGACAGTCACCTCCACGAGGATGGTTCTCACTACGGTGTATCCAGGAGGTCCTTGGCAAGTCTAAGTTGAGAGGCAGCCCTTTACTTAAAGCCAAGATTCAAAGACCTCATTCCTGGACTCTCTTCTCAGCTCTGCCACTGGCATGTGAAATGTGTCTTAATCAGTCCTTCAAGTCACCCTCTGGTAGGCAGGAGTAACACCCAACCTCCCCATCCTTCCCTGGACAGCAGGGACATGAGTTTCATCCTGTCTCTGAAGCTCTCAAAAGGGAGGTATCGGTCTCCCAGGGTGAACAGCCCAGCAGTCTAGCCTGCGCCCCGCCTGCCTCACCTCACCCTCCGTGGCATCCAGCATCCACCTGGATTTCAACAAACTCACACAAAGCCCCAGCTGGGAGAGTCCAGCCGCTGGTCTCTTGAAGGTTTGTGTTTTCTTGCCTTTGCCCACCCCCCGCTCCTAAAAGCTTTCCAATAATGATCACAGGTGTGCCTCCGGGTTCAGTAATTTCTGTTCTTTGTACACACAAACCAGACAGAATGGAGTAGATCCAGCTGAGCCCACCTAAACCAACCAGTCCTCCCGAGAAAAGCTAGAAGTTCACGAGATTTAAGAGAACCAGAAAGACAACAGGTTTACAAACCTAAAGTCCTGTCATTTCTAGCCAGACCAAAAAGTAGACACAGGTCCAAGCTATAAAGCAACTTAAGGGATTCCTTGTTTATTGCCAGGAGAAACGAGGAGGAAAAAAAAGGAAGAAGATTCAAATTCAGCTTCCAGGGAGGTTGTTAAGAACAGAATGTTGACTATTTTTTTCCTTAACTCCAACAAGCTAAGCTACCCAAAGGTCTTGTTTCTACACACCCAACACACACAGTTCAAAGGAGGAGCGACAATAACTCAGCAGCCCAAGTCTTAGCCCCTGTGGCCACCATCACCTTGAGTGACCTCAGGTGATCTTGAGTCTCTGGGTCTCAGTTCTGCTGTCTGTGAAATGGGTTAGGGAGATCAATATTTCCCAGTATCAATCATTCAGTTACCACTTTCCTGACTTTTGGCCATGCCTCTTAATAACCTGTCCTTTTATTCACATTGGACTTTTCTTCAAATCAAACCACTTTTCAAGTCCTAAAGAAATTTATTTTAAAGCGAATTTTATGTCACTATCACAATTGGCAAACTAACATCACTTGTCATAGAACATGATAAATATTTACAATAAAAGGAAAACAATGTTACAAACTCCAGCTATAAAATGACAGCCGGCTTCTGATGTGTTTGAGCCCGAAGGAGGATCTCTTTGTTAAAAAAGAGAAGGGCCAGAGATGGGCAGCAAATGAAGACTTTCTTCTGGATACAGTCAAAAGGACAGAGAGAAGATGGAAAGGGAGGTGAGTCGGTATTACTCACAGCACTGAAACTGTGCTCTATTCCACCGTCATTGTCCACTACATCCCACGCTTACAAACTCCAAACCAGACTGATTGTTTGCAAATGTTTTTTAGTAGCAGAATCTTTTCAAATGAAATCTCCTGTGAATGTCCAGTACGTAAAAAAGTGAGGCAAACAGAAGCTCCTCTGGTAGAGTGGGGACAGAGCCTCCCCCTCGTCCCTGGCGCATTCCCCGAGGTGTCCTAGTAGAACCCTTGGGTCCTCTGATTCCAGCCTCTAGCCAGCCCTGTCCAGCCCTGACATTTTACGAGGCAACAGGCCGGAAGCCAAGGTCTTCCCAGACCCTTTCTTCCTCTTCCTGGCATTCCAGCTACTTCCTTGGATGCTGTCATCCAGCACCTTTGGCCCTACCACACTGGCAACTCCTCTAGGACCTGTCACTCAGGCTGGGCACACCTGCCCAGCCATCCAGTTGTGAGGTCCTGGGTCCCCAGCTTGACCCATAGACAACTGTGAGTCCCAGACATTATTTATTTCTCTGGCAAGGTGACCAGCACCCCAGGCTATACCCTGGCGTAAGATGGACAACAGGCATAAGTAAAGCCACCGAGGTCACCTTTGCCATGGCTCAGAGCTTCCCGAGGCAGCACAGGCAGAGGGCCACGTGTCCCCCGCCAGTCGGGTCTGGGCCCCACCTGAAGCATGGCGGGCAAAGCGGGGCTCCTGCTTGCTGACGGGGATGCTGGGCAGTGAGGACCGGTTGGCCCGCTTCCTCAGGGCGCTACCGACGTTGTCTCTGCGTGGGCTGCCCAGCCTAGTAGGCACAGACAGGGTCCCGCTGCTCCGGAGGGGAAGGAGGCCTGTGGAGGCAGAGAGAGTCGCAGGGCTGAGCAGTCCTGCCTGCCCTTGCCCCGGCCCCAGTGTCCCCCTTCAGAAATGGGCCCACCAGCAGGATAGGACAGGGCAGGCGGGGCTCCCTGCCAGTCCCAGGACGGGCAGGGTGGGAGTTGTGGATGGCCTCCGTTTTGAGGGTTGAGAGCCAGGGGGTGGGCAAGAAGTTCCCCAGCCTGAGGGGGTCTCCCCAGGGCACCCAGTACCTTCCTTCATTACGGTTCTGCGGGAGCCCACGCCCTGGGGGCCGAGCTCCCTCTCTCTCTCCGGCTGCTTGGCCCTCCGGAACAGCTCCATCTCCCTCATCTGTTTCAGCCGCATCTTCTCCTGGGCAGACTTGGAGATGGTGACCTGGATCTGGCACAAGGTCAAGGCACATGCTGTTAGCCTGGGGACCCAATCATACCTCCTAAACCTCCACTACGCAATCATCAAAAACGCGAGTCCCTCCCATGCTCTGCTCTGGAAGTGAGCAAAAGAGACATGGCCCTCGCTCCCAGACAGCGCGAAGGGGACAGAGAGAGGCCCCAGACTGATGGCCTGAGCAACCACAAGTCTGGAGCTGCCTTTTACTGCCATTCGCTGGGCGAGGACCCTGGGGAAAGAGGAGGTTTTGTGAGTTGAGGGCTCCAGGGTTGAGTTTCAGACACGGAAGGCTGGAAGTGCATCAGGCACTTAAGCAGCAATGTTGGTAGCAGCTAAATGTGAGCATGTGGAGGCCAGGGAGGCGGAGGCTGGCGGGGGAAACGAGGGTGTCCTCAGCATGGAGATGGCACTCAGTGCCTGCCCAGATGAGAACCGGGGTGAGTATAAACACCCGGGGCTGGAGGACTGCGTGCTGGGCTACCAGCACCCAGAAGGGGGACGAGGGAGCCAGCAGAGAAGGACCAGGAAGGAGCCGCCTCTCAACATGGCAGAGAAGCAAGAATGAGCCAGCCCCTCCTCCGCCCCTGGCTGGAGAATTCAGAAGGATGAGCCACCAGCCGTGTCAATGCCGTGATGGGTCAGGTTGGAAGAGGACCGAGATGCGGCACATTTGGGAGGGTGGAGGCCACGGGCGGCCTCCGTGTGGGCAGCTTCGGTGGCGTGGAGCAGACTACTCCATCCGGAGTGGACTCGGGAGAGAACAAGAAGAGAGACACGGCAGGGTTTTGTCTTCGCTTGGTTTTGCTTTCTTGAGAGCGGTAACAGCTGATGGGATGTGTCATAGGATAATAGGCTGACGGGAATGACCCGATTTCAAGGAGAATATTGTTTTTGCCAGAGAGGGAAGAAATGCCAAGGTTGAAGTATTAGGGGGAGGGGGCCGGAACGACAGGAGCTGGTGGTGAGCCGGTGATGCTTGAACTTGGCGGTGGCAGAGTGTGTCACCCGTAATGCCAGGTCTGTCTACGGCCACAGGAGTGAGCGGCTGACGTGGCGGGGCGGGCGGGGGCTGAGGCCATTTTGCTGCACTGAATTATTATTATTTTGTTTCCCATTCTGTCACCCCCTAGAGTGGGAGGGCTGTGTGACTGGGCCTTGTCACAGTCACCACGAAATCCAGTCCCTAACATAGCACACGCACAGGAGGCCTTCAGGATACATTTATTGGTCTGAACTATTCTGTCTCCATTTCAGAGAAGGAGCACAGGTCCCTATAATGGCGACTCTCCAAGCTTCACTAAATCCATCGCAACCAGGGCAGAGAAGCCACCTCCCCAAGGTCACCTGAGCAGAGGAAGGTATTTGCAGCCTGTCAAACACAGCTTTTGGCCGGGGGCCTCTGAGTCAGCTGCCTGTCAGTTGTTCTCTTGGGCGTTCGTTAGCTCAGATGACTCGGCTGGGTTCACCTAAGCCCCTCTGCCCTCCCTCGTCCCTCCTCCCTCCCTCACCCCTGCACCTGGTGCCCCACGCACCCTGCCCACCTCCATCCTCGCTTCTCTTTCCTTTGTCGGCCCTCATCCCAATCCCGCTCTGGTCCTGGGCTCTTCCTCACTCTTGCCCATTTCTCACAAGCCGGTGCCACACTCGTGTATTTCAGAAACTTGCCTCATGCAGCCAGTGTCCACTGCGACCCCCACTTCCTCCTCCCACTTCCCAGATACCTTAGTGCTGCTCTCCTTCTGGTCCTCTTCTTTCAGCAAGGGTTGGGCTTCTCTGGCGTGGCCGAAGGAGAAGGCTGTGAGTGCCGGAGCGGACTGGGAAGAGGCCAGGGCGGGCTTCCCCGCAGCGGCAGGCTTTGGCCCTGAGGGGTGGAGAACAGGGACCGAGCTGAGGACGCCCAGTCCCCGGGCTGCCCCTGAGGTCTCTGGCCCCCACCCTCAATTCCTCTGCCCAACTCTCCCGTGATGGAGAACAAAACGAGTCAGATTCACTCTGCAGAGCAGCACCGGCCGGCGTGGAGCAGGCTGCCTGTGGACCAGCATCACCTTCATTCATTCATTCATTCATTCATTTGCTACTGTACGGCTTATTCTAAGACAGGGGAAGGAGTGGAGGGCCTGGGCAGGAAACAGGGTCAGGTCTGTTATCTAGGGGGTATAAGTGTTTTTCTGAGAATGTAAGTTTATCTTACGTAGGAGGCACGTACCTCAGGAAAAGAAAACGTAAAATGGGTCCACTAACCCTTTTATGTGACCATGGGCCTGTCTGGAACTATGACATGGCATGAAAGGGCAGAGCTGGAGGGGGCAGAGAACTAACTAGCGCTGGGCCAACCCTCTCATTTTACAGGCAGGAGAGCTGAGGGCCAGGGACCTTCAGATGTTCCTGTGATTGATAAAATAAATTCAATTCCACATGACATCAAATCCATGTATCTCTTTGTCATTCTGTATTTTCCCAATCAGTGGATTTTAAAGGTACATTTCTTATTATGGAGGCAGGATGGGGATAGGTTCATTAATTTTCTGCTGCTCACAAGGTTTGGAGCTCACCATCGTTGGGAGAACCTGCAAATTAGGGGTCTGCTGAGGTAGGGGCCACCATCTGGGGCTGCCTGAAGCCAGGAAAAGTATCTTAAGTCTGGGGCCCCTGCCAAGTTCCGGGTCACCCAGGCCCCTGCCGGCCCAGGCCTCTGCAAAGGCCTTCTCTGCTTGGCGCAGGGAGAAGGAGCAGGGGCTGAGGAACAGGGAGGACCTTTGAGCCTCCATCCGCCCAGGGGGAAGAGGCAGGGCAGAGGGCACAGGGGATCAGCAGCCAACTGACCAGGGCAGGGACCGCAAGATGCCACAAGGCTGGGGAAGACCCCAGCTTCACACAGTGCCACGTGAGCTCCTACTATGTACTGGGCGTGTCACACATATTGGGCAACGAAATCCCAGCTGACAGCCGGAGGATCAAAGAGCCCTTTAAGGACTTTGCTGCTTTATCTCCCACAACCTAGCGTACACCCTAAAGGGCCACCCCAGGAAGCCTCGTCTGCGCAGCCCACCCCTGCCCACAGGCCCCCGGAGACCTGGTTCTCAAGCAGCTGGTGAGCCCGAGGAGGGAGGAGTACAGGCTGGGGTCTCCTGGCCCAAACCCCAACGCCAGCATTGTCTGGGCTAGCTCTTAAGGTCACTCGGGGTACTGGAGTGTGTCACCACAGGCTGCCCGAGCTCAACCCGCTGCAGCCTGGCCTCAGAGCAGGGAGAAGTAGCTGCCACAGCGGTTTCTGTGCCAGGCCAGCTTCACAGACCAGGCTTCGTGTCCTGATCCCGGGGCCTCTTGGGCAACAGTTTCCCCTCTGGGCCAACTGGCCCACCTGCTGAGCTGATTAGCAGAGTGCCCAGCCAGGAAGCTGGTCCCCGGCGTCCTCCCCCGCTGTCGGTCAGCACAACAGCCACCACCAACTCCTACCACCTGCCACCAAGCTGAGGGCGCTCCTCCCACCCATCCTGCACGTGGGCTGTGGCCTGGCTTCCCCAGCCTACAGCCACCCCCTCCTGCCTCTCCACAGGGTCAGAAAGGACCCCTCCTCCCTCTGTAAACTCCTCCTACCTTGTCCCCTCTCCTGGCCTCCATCCCGGGGCTGGCCCTATTCCCCTGGCATTTAAACATTCTGGGACCGGCTGACTAAGGGGTTTGTGGGATGTGGTTTAATCTCTCAGTCTCTCCAGCGAGGAATACTCCCCTCTACTTGCTTAAAACAGTACAGGGGCAGCTGCACCACACACTGAGAGCCCCAGCTCTCAATGCAAACCTGAGTGCAAGTCTGATGGGGCTCTGAGACCAGGGAGAACGTCCGGCTGACAGAGCTGCCATCTGTCAAACGGGGACAGCACCGTCTCTCTCATCTGGGTCATTGTGAGCCACATGAGCTGGCATATGGCAACATGCCTGCCAGAGCAGGTGCCAATAAACACTGCTGCTCTTCCACGCCTCGCCCAGGCCTGCTGCCACCCTCCAGCTGGGGACCACGGGCGACTTCAGCTTCCCTGTCGTGAAATGAGGGCCTCGGACACGAGAGCTCTCGGGTCTCCTCTACCCCTAATTCTGCTTCTATGACTCCAGCCTGGGAACCAGAGAGTCAAATAACAAGGGGTGCACATAGAGAATACGTACCCAGAGATTTAGGGGTCTTCTCTCGAGGCCCACTCTCCCGAACCAATCTTAAAAGAACGAGGGAGAGAAAAGCATCATGAGCGACGGCAGGCTGGAGCGGCTGCCTGAGGACCCCAGGGTGGCTCCAGGACGGGCCCACGGCCAAAAAGGGGGACCCAGGCAGGGGCTGTTATCCCTGCAGAGGCTCTTGGCCAGGGTTCAAGCTGCAGGAGATGGCAGCTCCCTCCACCAACGCGAGGGCAGGCTGACCGGCGGGCCAGGCTGGGTGTCCAGACACAGCGCCCGGCCCCAGGAAGCTGGCACCCGCATGGAAACTGCTGCCTTAGAGGGAGCCCTCACCCCCCACTGTGCGCCCTGGGCCTGTGCAGGAGGAGGTGGCCGCAGCAGATGGGGGGTAAACTGCCTCCCCTCTCGGAGAACACTGAGCTCAAGTTCCCCAAACTGCCCGAGCCCCAGGAGAGCAGAGTGACCCCTAAATATTCCTCCTCCTCCAATCCTAATCCCCATTCCCCATCCCCCGCCCCCAGGGGCTGGAGAGGCCGATCCCCTTTGCCGCAATGGGGAAACTAGCACTGTTGTGTACTATGAATAGAAGCTCAATCCCAATTACTTGCAGGAAGGAAAGACGGAGACATTCCTGGCGCTGGTTTTAAATGTAATTTTTTAAACTGGAAACACCATTTATTCATTCAACAGATACTTACTGAAGACCTACTACATGCCACGACCTATTCTAGACACTGGAAATAGAGCATTGACAAGAGATGACAATCCCTGCTCTCAGGGAGCTTAGGATCCCATGAAGACCAGCTGTTTGGTGTCACACATGATTGTCCCTTCTCTGCAGGACATCAGGACCCATGGGGAGCTGCCAGGGTAACAAGACACAACAAAAGCACTGGGACACAACATCCCGTGCTGTGGCCTCAGAGGATCCTCTCAGCAGAGTGACCCAGGCCAGGCTGGCTGGATCAGGCACAGCCTCCTGGGCCTGGGCCCGCAGGGAGGGCTTGTGTGGCTGGAGGGAGTGTGTGAGTGCCCCAGGGCAGCCCAGCCCAGGGAGCACCCCAGCAGGCCTTTGCCATGAGACCCCAACACTGCCTACTGGACTGCACTAACAGGATTGGTGGGGCCGGGGGCAGGAGAAATGGAGTTAAGAAGTCCCGACAGCTACCCCAGCTGCTAAGACTCATGGGGGCCCCAGGCTGGCCGGGGTAAGCACAAAATTCCTGACACCGCTCGCTCCTCCCGGGCCCGGCCTCATCCTGCTCAGGCCCAGCTTTGCCCCTCTGGCCTTAGCCATAGTCTGCTTCTCCTCGCCTCTGCACGGCCGGCCTCAGAGGACGTGGCTCTGCTTCTTTCAAGGAGAAGCCTCTCGCTCTCCCCTTCCCTAGAGACCCCTCAGCAGACCACGCTCGTCGGAGCCTCTGCCCTTCTCTGACCACTGAGGTTCTTCCTGGGCCCCAGGGAGAGGGGCAGGAGAGCAAAGCCCTGTGTCCAGCAAGAGTCCCTGCCTGCTCTGGGCCAGATGTCAAAACCTGTCTGTGTCCCAGGTCACCACAAGCTAAAGCCACCCAAGTGGCCCCACCACTAACCCCAAGCCCTGTCTCTCCTCTCCTGGGTTGGATGCCCCAGGGACAGTGCAGAGAAGGCCACCTCCCCTCCCTGCTGCCCTTTAAAGTGAGGACAGACCCGGTAGGGCTGGGGTGAAAGGCCCATGTTGGGGTTGCAGGGGTGGAGCAGAGGAAGCGCTATCTGCCTGAGGCTCCCGTGCAGGGGCTGGGGCTGGGGAGGCCCTGTAGAGCGGCACGGGCAGCCGGGCTGTGGAGCAAGGGCAGGGGAGGGACCCTGAACATCAGGCCAGGGAGCCTTTGCGGCTGGCACAAGCAGTCAGTAAAGGGGCAGTGCATGGAAGAGGTGCAGGGTGGGGGACAAGGATGAAAATGAAAGACGGGGGCGGAGGCGAAGGGCCGCAATGAGACAGGTTAGAAGCTATTCAGAGAGTTCAAGAAGGAGCCAGCAAGTGCAAACTGAGAGGGAAAGACAGGGGCAAGACAGGGGAGGGAGCTATTTGTATATTTTTGCTGTTGATAAGAAAGACTGGGGGGATGTGGTGACGTGTGAGGAGCAAGAGTCAAACATGACGCTGAGGTATGAAGACCTCGGAGAACGTCTGCACCTCGAGGGAAATAGGAGGTCTTGGAGGGGGCGGTTTGGGGACTCCGCAGTGCTGTGATGGTGGCCCGTCCTCCCTCTCTCTCCCTCTGAGGCTGGACTGCATCAGCCGGGAGAAACTGGAGGTGCCCAATAGGAGGGTGGCAACACAGAGCCTAGCATCTGGGTGCCATCAGGGCTAGGGCAGGAAATGCGAAGCCACCCACACCCACACCGTCTTGGAAGCCTTGGGCACAGATAAGGGTCCCCGGAGCAAAGGGCCTGGAGACAGGTGAGACCACCTAGAAGGTCAAGAAGCAGCTGTAAAGTCAGCAAGGCCAGGAAGGAGAAAAGTTCAGATGATGCAAAAAAAGTCAAGAGTAACAAGATGAGAGGTAAGGCCACCAGCCTGGGCCAGAGTCCCCAGAACCACCACAGCGCTGCCCAGAGGGGAGGAAGAGGCAGGTGTCTGCGCAGGAAAGGAGGGAACTGTCCCACGTGAGGAAGCAGGCGGCACTGCGGCAGGCAACTGAGGTGGCTGATGGTGAAACTCGAGCAGAAGATCAAATCTGGGAGCAGGTCCGTGGAAGGGTCTCCACAGCCAGCAGGGTTGGAGGAGGACGTGGACGTGCGCGTGGACAGAGGGAAGGCAGCAGGGAGCCGAGGAGGACACGTGAGACGAATGGAGGAGTCCAGTCCGCCAGGCCCCAGAGACACAGGGCTGGGGAGGGAGAGTCACAGCAGGGACTTGACCGTGACCACGCTGGGGGAGCCGGGCTGCAGGTGTGAGCACGCACACACGCGCACACACGCATGCAGTCACACACACACGTGCACACACAAACACACACACTCACACACACGCATTCTCCAACACACTGCCCCGACGTCACTCTGGACAGTGGATGCCATTGGCCGTCTGAAGAGCGTCATCTGTCCCACTTACAGAGCATGAGCCAGGTTTGTCACAACGCACAGACCCTCTGCCTCTCTTCTTTGGGGAGTATGAAATCTCCTTTTTAAGTCCAAAAGTTTGCGGATTACACCCCGCACACATAACGATAATGGTTGTATTTTTATTCTCCATCAATCAAGATGTACTAGCATAATAAATACCTCATAACAAAGAGCTACCATGAATGCAGTCGTGCTTTAAAATAATTTGTGTTTTATTCCTCACTCCAGCAACCACATCCATTAAGACACTGGCTAAAGACAGAGGCTGGAGACGTCGTTTGTCACACCATTGTGCCCCGCCTGCTGGAGCCAAGGGGCAGGGAAGCCCCACGCAGTGCTGTGGCCTGCCCAGGTGTGCGGCTCGTGGGTGGGGGAGCCTGCCCTCCCCTGCCTGGTGCTCCCAGAGCTCTGCCCTGGCATGGAGGTTCAGCCACGCGGAGCCCCAGTGGGTCTGGGGGGATGGGGAGAGAAGCCAGCAAGGAAGGCTTGACTCGGGGCTCTTACCGTGTGCGTGGGGCCCTCAGGCCTGTGGGCATGTCCTGGCCTGGAGGCCATGGCCTGGGAAGGGCGCCAGGAGCACAGGAGGAGGCCGCCACCTGCACACCAGCCTTCGGGATGGGCGGGACCACAAAGCCCCCCAGTGACTTCCCCATCTTCTCGTCATCACAGTGCAGAAATTGCGGGGAGATCTGCACCTGCGAGCAGAGGCGGGGCAGAGTTTGGTCCATGGAGACATCCATGCAGAATGCTCCCCTCCTAGTACGTCACACAGAGGGGGTCCTTCTAGCTGGGAAATGTCCTCTGGTCTCTTTCCAGCCACACAACCCCAGGCCACCAGAAGGCTGATCGCTTCTTCAGCACTCCAGGGGAGAAGACTGGCAAGCCCTTTTCTTACTATTATGTGTTTTCCTGTTCTTCATATTTCAGAAAAATCCCAGGATATCAGAGCTGGAAGGGATCTTCAGAAACATCTGGTCCAAACCTCTATTTTTATAGATGTGCAACTGGGGCCCAGAGAGGGGCGTGACTCACCCAGGATCACATAGCCAGTGGGGAACAGAGCAGAAACAAGTCCCAGCAGCCTTCCCCCTCTGCCACACTCCCTTCTTAAAATGGAGAGAAATGGGTCAGAAAGCAGGAGGAGTTCTGGAGCATTCGGGCCAGAGGAGGCCCAGGGAACCATCCATTCTAGGACAGGTGGTCATACAGCCCCTGTGCAGCCACCCAGAACTCCCAGGCCAGCTGCAGGTTTCGGGCGCTGTGGGAGAAGGTGCAATGAGGGTCGGAGCCTCTGCTAGAGTTTCCCCACCTGACTGCAGCCCCAGAGACACCTCCAGAGACACTCAGGGTGCAAGAACAGGAGTTGGTAAAGGCTAGAAAGGCAGGCAACAGGGAGAAGCTGTGGCAGGACTCAGAGCAGAGGAACCACCTTACCTCCTGGGTGCCAGGTCTCAACTCTTGGGGTCTCTGGCTGCTCCCAGGAGGGTCCAGGCCCTTCTCCTTGGCCCTGCTGGCCTCGGGGGTGGTGGGGATGCTCTGGATGGGAGGCATCAGCCTGGATACCCTCAGCAGCCTCTGAGAGGTGGCACGGGGGATCGTGCTCCTCAGGGCAGCTCCTTTGGGGCCTCCCCCAGGATCCAGAAGGGCTGCATGGGGTGGGGATGGGGAATCGGTTAGTCCCAGAAGAATGTGGAGTCAGAGGGGCAGGATTCAGACCCCAGCAGTGGGGCCTGTGTCCTGGGGAAGGCTGGGGTGACAAAGGAAGAGGACAGATCTGCCCCCAGCGCCACACCCCCAGAAGACCAAGCAAGTGGACGTACTGAGTGGCCGTTTCCAATCAAAAGTGCCAATCAAAGTCACCTGTTTAGAGTTCAGAGGCAGTGTGGGCAGGAAAGGAAACAAAATCAGTGCTAGATCAGAGGGAGGACAGCAGGCCTGGCCCTGAATGGAAGCTGTGTAACCTCGGGCAAGCCCCTGGCAATCTGAACCCCCATGGGCACTTCTGTAAAATGGGGTGTTCACAAAGATCCAATGACACTACTTCTGTTCCCCTTTCCTTTTCAGCTAATGACATGGGGTACAGCTGTTCTGACACGGGCTAAAAGACAGTGCAGACAGACCACCGCACTTCCAGCTCCTCCATCCACGCTTTCTGTGCCCCGCACACTTCTCCGCACCCTGGCCCATCCTATCTCTCCCAGCTGCCACCTTGGGCCCCCTGGGCAGTGGCACAGAGGAGCCAACACCGCCTCAGGGCAGGGTGGCAAGGGCAGCCCCAGCCTACTCAGGAGGCCGGAGACCCCGGCCCTCCACACTTGCTGGGGGACCTGATAGGTCGTAGGTCACTTCCCCTCTGTACATTAGAAAAAACAACTCCCATTCTTTTTCTTCTCCATTGGAGCTTTGTAAAAAGACATGAAAGGTCTAGAAAAGACTTCAGACCTATAAAGGAAGGAGTCATTGGTCTGGCAACTGCAGAAGTTGCACCAGCTGGAAATTCTAAGCAAGCACCGGGCACTCCAACACCACCGGCTGCCTCTGTAATGTCCTGCCAGTGTGCCTCCTCAGCAGGGCGCCCCTGCATCTGCCTGGGCCCCTCACCATGGCCCCAGGGGAAGCCCCAGCTGGGGAGCAGCTGCTTAGGGCAGGGGGGCAGCTGATGACAACTCCAGGCTTGAGAGAAGCAGCCACGGGCCCCGAGAGTGTTTCCCCCCAAGACTTCCAGTCTTCTTATTCCTCTTGTCACCCAAAGAGCTTGTTCAGCTAAAAAGACCAAGTTATACCATGTGCCCAGGAGGAGGGGAGAGAAAGAAAGAAATTCACAACTTATTAGCTTCTTCCCATATACCAGGTGCTGAGAATTCCGTGTACAATTTTTCATTAAGCCCTCACGGTAACATAGAAGTGTTACTAGCCCCGTTACACAGAGGAGGAAACTGAGGCTTGAAGGGTCACCCACTGGCCCAAGGCCCCAGAGCTAGTACATATCAGGGCTAACATTTGAACCTGGTCTCTTTACCTGGCTTGCCCACCACCCGGATGAGAGAGAAATATAAATCTGCCCACTCTTCGGTCCTTTGTTCATCTATTGAACAAACATTTCTCTCTTTTTTGTGTTTGGTTTTTGTTTTTATTTGTTTTTTTGTTTTTTCATTTTGAAACAGGATTGCATTCTGTCACCCACGCTAGAGTGCAGTGGTGTGATCACAACTCACTACAGCCTCAAACTCCTGGGCTCATAGGACCCTCCTGCCTCAGCCTCCAGAGCAGCTAGGAACACACTACCACACCCAGCTCAGTTGTGTAATTTTCATTTTTTTAGAGATGGGGGTCTCTTGTTGCCCAGGTTGGTCTTGAACTCCTGGCCTCAAGCGATCCTCTCATCTCAGCCTCTCAAATTGCTGGTATTACAGGTGAGCTGCAGTGTCTGGCCTCAACAAACATTTCTCAAGAGCTTCCTAGGTGCCAGGTGACTGCCCCACACTGAGGACACAGTCCCTACACTCTTGGAGGTGAAAGTCACATGCAAGATTCAAGTTTTAAACACATAGTCACAGGTGAATCGTGAAAAGAACTAAAGGAAAACAACAGGGCATTATTAGAGAGCAGGCTGTGGGGCAATTCGGATCGGGGAGTCAAGGAGGCCTCCTGAGGAGGACTTTTGAGCCAGAGGGGAGGAGGAGTGGGGAATGGAGAAGGGTTAGAAAGGAAAGGTGGGGGACTCTAAATCCTCCGGCAGCACAAAGCCCAGAGCTGGAGGCACTGGAGAGTCACTCCGTGTGTCTGACCCACAGACAAGGGAAGGGAGTGACCCAGGCACAAGTGAGGCCAGGGCCAGAGGGCCTTGTGCATGCGGGAACATTTGGGACCTTAGTCTAAGCTCATCTGGAAACCACTGGCGGGTTTTAAGCATAGCCGGTGGGAGTGGAGTACGGATGTCTGTTTAAGAAATTCCTCTGGATAGACTAGAGGGGCAGGGGTGTGAAAGGGAGGCTGCAGGGAGGCTGTGGCAGAGACCCAGGAGGGAGGTGGTGCTCCAGGGGGAAGCTGAGGCCACAGAGAGAGGGAACCTGGCAGGTGCCCACAGCCCAGCCCTGGGTAGCCCAGCATGCCACCTGGACACCTGCCGATCCTCACTGCCTGGATGGCCTGGGGCCATGACCTGGAATGGGGGCGGGGCCAAGGCTCACCTGAGGAAGATGCTGCCAGGCCCTCTGAGAGCCTCCTTTTCTTGAGCTTGTCCTTGATCTGGGTGGTGTCCCGGGCCACGCTGCTGGCCTCTGGCTCTACCAGGAAGTGGGGCCTCAAAGACAGGACCCCAAGGCTTCTGGGGTGACCATTCCTGGCCTGCCAGCCCTTCAAAGGGGCATCCAGTTTGAGGCTACCTGGGTCCCCATGTCCACTCTGGAGCTGTGATGGCTTCTCACTGCTCGGCAGGACGCTCGGCGTGGGCTGGAGGGAGGCTGAGGGAGACAGAGGCGTGAGTAGCTTGGCACACAGGGCCCAAGGTGGCACCAGGCACCAGCAAATCTCTTGGTGCTGCTCCCTGGGTACAGGTAGCTGCTGGCCACAGGAATTCCAGCCATCAATGTTTCAGTCACTCCTGGGACAAGTTGTTCACTCGACAGTGTCTGTGAAGCGCTTAACCGGAACAAGACATGTGTCATGAGGACCCAGAGGCTTAAAGGAGAGTCAGTCAGCAGTCCTCTCATGGCGTTGATGAGAGGCCATAAATACTCAGGGAGGCCGTCTGCCCAGGGACCACCGTCCCCCAACCTCCAGGGTCCAGCAGAGTCATCGGCACTATCGAGCACCGACACACACCAAACACAGAGTGAAAGGAGACTCCCTGGAGACGGAGAGCAAATCTACCCACTCCCACCGGGCACACGATCATCCAGTTACTCATCCGACGTGCATCTGGTAAGCGTGTCCTGGCACCGAGCATGGTCAGACAACGGGGCTACTGAGATACGAGTGAGGCACAGTCTTTTGTCACTAAGGGACGGTCACTCTATCAGAGAGATAAGATATGTCCATAAATGGGTTCAAGGTAGGCATGAGGTATGCCATAGGAGAGGCAGAAATAAAGTGCTCTGCACACTTAGAGGAGGAGGAGGGTCTGGAGGACCTTCACGAAGCGGTGCGTTTGCCCTGGGGAGTCCTGAACGAGGGGAAGCGATATGACAGAGCAGCGCTCAGAAGCTCCGCCACGGCCCTGCTCTTCTGGAGACCCTGGTGCCCGGGCCACAGAGACCAGACTGCAGCTGGCACCACGCCCAAGGACAGCTGAACGCTGGGCCAGCCACAGGCCTGCAAGAGGGCTGGCCTGAGAGAGGGCAACTGGAGCAATCAGAGTCTCCATCCAAAACCAGCCTTGAGCCCTGTGGGGAAGGCAGCCTGCAGCTGACGCCAGGGCAGAGTCACGGAGCAGAAAGTGGTGGAGAAGCTGAGTGGGCGTCACGAAAGCCACCACTGCAGCAGCTGTCCCACCGCGCCCTGGCCACAGAGGGTGCTCCGAGGCCCCAAGGAGGGCCCCGCAGGGGCAGACCCTGTCTTCCTGTGCCTTGCAGGCTCCCCCTGGTTTCCTAGGGAAGCCAGGCACATGCTGAGAGCCCCAGTCCCTATTCCTATGGGTCTCCCCGTGTACATCCCCCGAGGCACAGAGTTCAAACAGCCTGCCCAAAACCAGAGGCCACAGGAGAAATGCCATCTGCTGGCAGCTTGACAACGCAGCCTGGCATCTAACACACTCACGTCCTCCCTCCAGGATGAGGCCCAAGCCCTGCCTGTGACCAGTGGCCCTGACTGGGCAGCTGCAGGTGGAGCCTCCCCATCCTCGGCCCAAAGTCCCCAGAGAGGCCACTCAGGGCCCTAGAAGGCCATTTGGTGTGGCTGGGTCACCAAGCCGGATCTTCCCATCTCACCTTCTCCACAAGCCGGCAGACTGGAGTCAACGCTTCCAGGCGGGAGCACACGGGGCCCAGCGCTGGTCCGAGGGACGCTCCCGCAGTACACAGCCACTGGAGCCAGAGCCCTGGCTGGGGACAGCACAGGAAAGCACAGACAGTCTGCAGCCTGCCAGAGCCCTCCTGCACACTCTAAGATGGAGGCACCTTAGGGTCCTCCAAGACCACGACTGGGAACACACTAGGAACACACTGGGAACACCCATACCATACCCCTCAAGGTCTCTGCTCGAGGAACCAAGGCATGCAGTGGCCCAGCCTCCTACACCAGAGCTTGGCCAGGCAGGGAGCCCATGATCTCCACCAATCCTCCCAACCCCACTCGCCCAGCCTCTCAGCTCACTGCCCCACCCCCACACTCTGCCTGCACTCTCCCTCCTGGCTTTGCCCCAAACCCTTGACCATGCTTCACGGGCCTCCTCCCCTTCACCCCAACAACGCTGATCCCTGGTGTGCCCAGCCCCAGCCTCTGCCCACTAGCTGCTTTCCCTGAGCCACCTCCTCACTGCCACCCACTGCAGAGAACACCTTGCCCTGTGGCTTCGGCCCTCTGACCAATGCCCCTATTGCAGAGCAGAGCTTCTGGTTACCTGGCCAACCCCCTCTCTTGGAGCCCCAAGCACCTCACAGCACGTCCTACACTGACCCTCCCTCTTCTCCCCTAACCTCCCCTGGCTCAGCTAAGGGCATTGCCTGTCCCTGCCACAGACATTTGTCAATGCTGGCTCTGCGCAGGGCCTCTGCCCCTCGAAGTCCCTGATGACACAGTAGCGGGTAAGGCTGACTCAGTGCTCAGTGAAGGCCAGGTGGGGAAGACAAGGATTAACAAGCAACGACAGTGTGGGTCCTGTGAGCCCCGGCCAGGGACGGGGACAAGGAAGGCTTCCCAGAGGGAGGGACCCTGGGCAGAGATCACACCCGGGAGCAGGAGCCAGGAAAAGAGGACCGGGAGGCTCGGCTAAGGCATCCACTCCTTTAAGAAGTCTTCCCATCTTGTGCCTATTTTTAAATCGGATTATCTGGTTTTTTGCCATTGAGTTGTTTGCATTTCTTATATATTCTGGTTAGTAATCCCTTGTCAGAGGAATATTTGCAAATATTTTCTCCCATTCTGTAGGTTGCCTCTTCCCTCTGTTGTTTCCTTTGCTATATAGCAGCTTTTTAGCTTGATGTGATCCCATTCATCTATTTTTACTATGGTTGCCTGTGCTTTTGAGGTCACTGCTCGGTATACAGCCAAAACAAAGGAAATCAGTATATCAAAAAGATGTCTGCGCTCCCGTGTTTATTGCAGCACTATTCACAGTAACCAGGCTGTGGAATCAACATGAGTATCTATCAATGGATGAATGGATAAAGAAAATGTGGTCTATATACACATGGAATATAATTCAGCTACTAAAAAAAAAAATAAAATCCTGTCATTTGCAGCAATATGGATGGGACTGGAGGCCATTATGTTAAGAGAAATAAGCCAGGCACAGAAAGACAAATATCACATGTTCTCACTCGTAGGTGGAAGCTAAAAAAGTGGATCTCGTGGAAGTAGAGAGTAGAATGGTGGTTACCAGAGTCTGGGAAGGGTGTGCGGGAATGAAAAGAGGCTGGTTACTGGGGACAAACACACAGTTAGACAGCAGGAATAAGGTCTAATGCTCAGTAGCACAGTAGGGAGACTACAGTTAACAATAAATAATGTATCATATAGTTGAAAATAGCTAGAAGAGAAAAATTAGAATGTTCCCAACATAAAGAAAAGATAAATATTTGAGGTGATGGATTTGCTAATTACCCTGATTTGACCATTACTCACTGTATGCATGTATCAAAATAAGACATATACCCCCAAAATATGTACAACTATTACGTATTAATAAAAGAGAGAGAGTGAGAGAGAGAGAGAGAGAAGCCCTCCCTCCCCTGTGCTCCCGCAGCCCCAGGCACCCCTCCATGTCACTCTCTCCTCCCCAGGCCACTCTCTGGTCCTGCCCTGCCACTTCCTGGGGCAGGCACCATGTCTTATTCATCTTTGTGGTGCTGTCCCTGCCTCTCAGCAGGCACTTAAACTGTGAATTAATATTCCACCATAAAAAAAGAATAAAATCCTGTCATTCGTCCCACACTCTCCTGGCTCAGCTCCTCCTGAGCACACATCGGGACCATCCGTGGGACCTGACCTGCCACCTGGAGAAGCCCCCCACAGGTGGAAAACCAGCCCACCCCCACCCCCAGGCTGGATGGCCCCTGGACAGGGACTCAGGAGCCTGGGTGCCCCTTTTTGTCACCTGTGTGACCTTGAGGGAAAAGCTAACCTCTCTGATCTCAGTTCCCGTATCACTAAAGCAAAGGAGTTGGACAGCACCAGGGGGTCTACAACATCTTCATTCTATTTCTAGATTTGTAGATTTTTCTTAAGGCTTCAGTACCTCCCACTTCCCCACTAGAATCTACCGTCAGTTAGGGTCTGATTTAGCACTAAATTATTCGGCTGTTTTCACATTAATGTCCCAAAGCCCCAGGGTGTCCTGAACTGCCCTGCTCTGACATCCTGGCTTTTCACCTACCTTGTGAATGGTCACCTGGCCCCTGCTCCAGCCCCTGCAGGTAAAGCACCTCTGCACCTTATAAACACCCATCTCATCTGGGGCAGGACCAACCCCCTCGCTTTCCGGAGGAAACTGAGGCTCACACAACCACCTCCCCAAAGGCAAAGCCAGGCCCAGAGCCCATCTCCTGGTGCTAAGTGGCTACGCACCGTCCCCATTCCCCTGCCTGGCCAGCTAAGGAAACGGGTGGTCCACTCTCCCCGAGGCCCCACCCACATCCTCTGTCCGTCCACATACTCTCGCACACAGCAGAGCACCGGCCCCTCGAGGACCCAGCCACCCGGCCTCAGAGAGTGGAGGCAGAGCTCAGGTCGGTCCCTGGAACACTCCGAGCCCCTCCCCGGGCAGGGAGCCACGCGGCAGCACCCTGAGCACAAAGGGCCGAGTGCCAGTCGCCAAGCACGTGGGCAGCTGGCTGGGGTGGACAGGCCCAGCCACCTGGCTACGTCTCCCAGGCACACCCTGTCCCCTAGGGTATCTGAGGATGATCCCCCACCCCGGAAAACACCAGGAACAGGCCTCCCTTACCTGTGGGGACATCATCACGGGTGCCCATGCCCTGGGTGGACGAGGTGCCCGAGAGGTTTCCCAGAGGCAGTGGCTATTCCTGGGCCGTGAGGACAGTCCTTGGGGGTCCAGAGGGTTCCGACCCGTAGCATCCAGGGACCTACAGTGGGGAGGGGCAGAGAGAAGTCAGGAAAAACAAGTAACAGACACTTCTAAACCGCTTCCCAGAAAGGCCATCAGGAGCTAAAACGTCACTGTCAGGAAGAAATCTGCCACTGGACCGAAGGACGCTTCTTCCTTTTATTTATTTATTTTTTTATTTCAGAATAATACAGGGACACAAACATTTTGGTTACATACATTGCTTTGGTACCGGACACTTCTTTCTGATCTTTGAACTCTCCCAGATGCTTCAAAGTTCCTAAGTGCCAAGGCTGCTCGACTATGTGGGAAGAGCTCACTGTGAAGAGTGTCAACGAAACCAATCAACCTGTCGTCCCTTGTCACTTGGACATGAGCACCTTTAGGGTCTCAGGAAAATGGGGTTTTCAAGGTGGAGCCTGACACTTCGTGTTCCGTCAGTTTCTATTTCCTGCAGACACCCACGAGTCCGCCGACCGTCCCGAGAGCTCGCGATGAAGGCTCTGTGCCCGGCTCAGCACTCGCACTTGGCAAGACCTCCCGGAAACCAGCTCTCCATTTTCTTTCAGGATGCGCTGGTTTTCACCCACGTGAAGTTCTCGGCCCTCGTGCTCACCTGGTTGAACAAACCCCGCCCCAGCCCCCTCAGCCACTTCATTGTCCTGAGCGCCTGACCACACCGAGCTTCTCCCTAGCCCCAGCCTCTGAGGTCAGCCATCAGCTCACACCCTCGACCTAACTTCCATTCCTTTCCCTGGGACAGGGTCTCACTGCAGACTTCACACAATTTTATAAGTTCTTTCCTGAGATCATGGTGACCTGTGTCCCCCGACAGGTAAGGGAGGAGGACAGCCAGAGCTGATCTGTGGGAAAATCAGGGGTAACACCCCCATCTCTTGATGTCTACTCTGGAGAGTAGCTCCCTCCACATATCATCTGGGGACACGGCAGGACACTGTGCCAACTCCTTTCTCAGGAACAGAGAAAACCTGCCTCCTGTCTGGAAGCCAGCCCGCCAGCGTCCCAGGCCCCAGAAGGCAGAGCAACTCTAGCAACGCTCTGGCCAAACCGAGGCTGCAGCTCAGATCAGCCTGGCCTGGGCTCACTGCTTAGGGCCTCGAGACACTTGCGTTTTCTGTCTGGGGAGAATTTTAGTCACAACCAGGGGAGAAGGCAACTCCCTGTCTGGTGACCACTGGGCTAAGTCATCTGGGATGTGGCCCTATGGTAGTGAAAAGCAGCCCTAAACGTCTGTGAGCTGCAGCACTTCTCCCAGGTAAGGTGAGGAAGATTCTACTCCACAGGTACCAACACCCCAACCTTCACCCCAGTAAGCTGGGGAAGAGACTCAAGAGATTGGCCAGGAGCTGTGTTCCCAGCAAAGCCCAGCAGGAATGTTCCAGGCTGGGACAGACCTTCTGTAACTGAATTAAAGCAAACAAGCTGAAGTTCAGGCCTTTGGGGGCAGCGAGGCCCCACCTGCTACCCATATCTCTAACCAGAGGATACACTTTCCATGAAAATTTCTATGAAAAGGCAACATGGAGCTACAGCCCTTGTTCCCAACCTTGGCTGCAGATCCAAATAGATGGAAACCGATTAAAATGACAGATTCCAAGGCCTGTCCTCAGGCCTCTACTGTCTTCTAGGGACAGGTCACAGGGATCCATTTGTGTGGTTTTTTTCCCCCTTAACTCCTAAATGATTTTGACATCCAAACAGGACTGAAAACCACTGGGCTATAGTTAGATTCACTTTATAATAAGATCTCAGCCCTGTTTCTTGTCTTAGGCTGTAAAGTGGTTATTGCTGCCTCAGTTTCCTCAAAGTGATCACTCTCCAGAGGCTGAAGAGAAGACAAGGAGCTACCCGAGAGTACAGAATGCCTAAGTTTCAACAGCCACTCCTCCTGCGGTGGGCTTTCCGAGCAAGACCCCTCTCCCACCTGCAGCCTCCTCAGTGGTCAGAAGGTCAACAGACTGAGACAGCCCATGTTCCTCCACGTCCCGAGGGACACCAGCAGTACAGAAAGGAAACCTGGAGCCACTCCATGGCTTGGCAAGGCCTCCCATCCACTAGAGCCCCTTTGAGTCCCTCTCAGGGTCTACAACTATGACTCTTAAGGCCTTAAGAGGCCTAAGCACCTGCCCAAGAGCAGGTGGCCCAAGTTGCGTTTGGACAGACAACCATGTCTTCTGTGAGAGCAATGAGGGGCACCTCCGCAGGTGCTTTGTGGGAGCGTAATGATCCATGTCCAAACTATAAAAAATCAGAATCAGAAATTCCAGCACAAAGGTGGGCAGAGCTTTGGGGTTTAGCATGGACACCACTGAGCACCCAAGCCCAAGGCACAGTTCGCGGAGGCCACGTCTGTGCCCAGTGCTGCTCTGGGCACTAAGGCGCTGCTCTCCCTCGCTGGCGCAGCCCCTGACCTAAAGGGCATCACGAGTCGGGAGGTTCGGTGACCAGGATTACTCAGCATGGCTGGCTCCTCCACTCTCAGCCTCAGTTTCCCAGCCCAAGAAGTGAGGCAGCCCACGGTAAGTGACTGCTGTCACTCCTTCCGTTAAAGTCATGACTACAGAGGCTCCCTAGTGACCAGCACCACAGGAATGAAGAAAGGTGACAGAAGGGACTCACATTTCAAGTTGGAAGGAAACAAAAGCTAGGACTGGCCCGGTAAAGACTGTCAGTCCCAAGCACAGAATCCCAACGGCTCCTGCCCACACAGCCCACAGGGAGCCAGTGACCCACTCTGTGTGCACCCGCTCCCAAGGGAGCTGGGCAGAGAATCACCCCCAAGAGAACAGCCCCACAGGCAGGAGGGCAGGGAACGGCTCACGGAGGGAGGGGAGGCAGGAAATGGCTGGCGATCCTGCCACAGCTCCTCTTGCTGTGTCACAGCACGACCCGCTCCTGCTTAGAGACCTCTGAGAGACCTGGGCTCTAGGGGGCCAGAGCACTCAGCTCCTCAGATGGATCGAGTGGGCGCAACGGCGCCCACGCCAGGGTAGTAGAGAGAGGAAGGAGGGCGGCCCAGGCTGAAGGGAAAGGTGGCAGAGTTTACAAACCCTAGTTTTTGAACCCAAAAATATGTCCCCCCAGGGACACACTTTCTGGAGAAAGGCCTCAGATCTAGGACCCCTCCCATCCGCACCCCTGTGCCACTGTGCTCCTGAACGCACGACTTGGAACACCGAGAACACCGGCTGCGGGGTCAGACAGCTGGAATCCTGCCCCGGCCCCTCTTGTATTAAGTCGGGAAAGTGATTTAATTCCTCTGAGCTTCAGTTTCTTCATTTGGAAAAAAATGCCCTAACAGGCGTTTTAATAGGATTAAAGTAATGTGTAGAAAGAATCTAGTACCATCACTGGTATACAGCAGTTGCTCAATAATGTCAGGTCTGAGTCTTCCTCCTCCTTCCCTGAGGAGAAACAGCCCCTCCCCACACACACCCTATCTTCACAGTTACGATGGGCCAGCCCTCCCCGCTGCAAGGCAGACCCAGGTGACGCGGACGCCCTCTCGTGAGAAGGGGACAGATGTGTCTGTAGAGTGAGAGGCTCAAACTAGACGGTGCCTTTGACCCTCCGCAGCTCCCACCACGAGTCCATGCTTCTAGTCAATGGTCACTATAATGCCAGGCGGAACGAGTGAACACTCACTGTAACACCAGACAGTGTCCACTCACCATGAACACACCCCTCACTCCTCCACCCCTCCGCTCCCCCACGGGGCCACCCGGTCCCACAGACCTCCCAGGAAAACTCTGGATGTTCTCAGATGATCTACTGGACTCCGACCTCCAGGGTTCAGGCTGTCACCAAAAGTCCGAGATGCACTCATTCATTCAACCATGTCGTAGGTACTAGGGCACAACAGTGAGTAAGACTGAAATCTAGCACCCGCAAGCTGTGTGACCGAAGCCACGTTACTAAACTTCTCTGAGCCCCCATTTCTTTACCTGCAGAAATGGAGGTAATACCTATCTCACTTCAATATTGTATCGTGCCTGGGCCCTAACAAGTAATCAACACACAGTGGCATTAGTATAGCTGCATCAGCAGGTGGAGGACAGATTTGGGTGGACAGGACGAGAGGCGTGGGAATGATCCCAGAGAGAGAGCATGAGTCTGGTTTAGGGCAGTGTGGTGGTAGTTGAACCAGGGCAAGGGGCCAAGAAATATTTAGGAGGCCAGTCAACAGGATTGGGAGACTAATTAGATAAGGGCAGTTAGAGGGAGTCTGGACCGAGTCCAGGGCTCCGGCATGGAGGGTGGAGGAAGGGGCGCCACTCACCGCCAAGATGGTGAACACCGCAGGAGGCGCCAGCCCCGGACAGACACGGGGTCTGGTTGGGGAGGGTTGGTTTATGACTCCTCTGGGACACCCGGGTGGAGCGGTCCAGCGAGCAGCTGGTCCGTGGCTCCAGAGACGTACATCTGGGCTAGACTGTAGGCTCGGGAATCCCCAGTAATGAGACGGCAATTAAAACCACAAGGGCAGATGCCGTCTGTAGGAAGACTTGGCCACAAGAGAGTGGCCGGAGCCAAGGAACAGCCCAGGGAACAGCAGCGCTGGGCAGAGACACGCAGAGGAGGGGAAGCCCCACGGGAGATGGAGCAAGGGCACCGGGGAGGCCGGGGGGTGGGTGCCAGGAGAGCCAAGTGAGCACAGGGGTTAGAGGCGTCGGCTCCGCAAAGAGGCCGAGGTGGGTGAGCACTGAGGCTGCTAATTGGATGTGACCATTAGGGAGTCATCCAGGAGGGTGGTGAGAGCGATCTCTGTGCACTGGGGGCACCAGGTGGTCACGGAAAGTTGCTGTGGGTTGAGGAGCAGGTGGAAGGTCAGGTGGAGACTGAGTACCGACAACTCTGGAGATTCGGGATGAGAAAGGCAGGAGAGGG